ACACCTTTACATCTACAACTTGGACCCTCAGGATGGAGGAGAGTGTGTCTTAATCAAGACTCACAGGTGAAGTTGCTAATTTTCAAAAAGATAGCCTTTCAAGAGCCGGTTGTGTAGAGTTGTCACCTGACCGAGAACGATGACAAGCTTCGGTGCTCTTGCTTTCCTTCTTCTTTGCTGGCGATCTTGGTGGCAAGCCTCTGGTGGGCACCTGCTTTGGGTCGGGCCCATGTCAGGCGCCCTCTGCATGCTGTACGCTCCTGGGGAAGTGCCAGGATGAGTAACTGCCACACAAAACATCCTCCTGCTCGGCCTTGCCTCCTCATCCATAACGGGTGCTCAGGAACATTTACCAAACTGAACTGAAAAGTTCTCTACTTCTGTAACCTAATACAGGACGGCCTCTCCCTGCTTTGGACAGGACACTGTGAGCTGCCATAGCCCCTCCCCCATGGAGCATCCCTTGCCTGTGTGCACCAGGAAAAACAAAGGGCCCATCTCCCTTTATTAAACATAAGAAAAAGGGGTCCCTGTGAAGTTGCATGATTGACCCTGGCCATCTGCGGTCTCTGCAGTTCACACAGACCCAGCAGGGCACCAGGAGGTCTAGCCTTGAAACCCAAGTGGCCAAGCGTGAGCTTCCTAGTAGAGCCTCTCCTCGGGGAGGTGTCCTGGACATGGGATGATCTCTTTTCTTTTCCCTCTTCATTGCTGCAATTAGGTTGCTTGGCTCAGGAACAACAGAAGAGAATAAAGAAAATGACCTCAGACCTTCATTACCTCAGTCTTATGCAGCAACTGTAGCCATACCAAGCACATCGTCTGCCTCCACAGTGCCAGGTGAGCAGGCGTGGGGGAACGTGTCTAGCGGCGACCCTCTGCTCCCCTTCACAGTTTCCTGTGCGTGTAGAGGCCATGGGAAGAGCCTCCAAACTCAGGTTCCTAAACCTGGTGGGCCTGGCAGCACATGCTCCTTTCCCTACAAGGCGAGCATTGGCAAACAAGTTCGGAAGCTTTAGGCGCCCGGCTGGAAGGTGGTTGAGACGAGCCCACCCGCCTCTCAGCGGCAGAGAGGCCATCGATGGTGGGGATTTTGACTTACCTGAAAGGCAAAAGGGGCCTCCTTCACTTCCCTGGACTCCCCCTTTTTGAGGTCCTGCCCTAGCATCATGGTGCAGGAAGAGACCCTGTGGCTTCTCTCACATCTCATTCTTGGTTTCCAGGTTATTCTGAGGACGGCGGGGCGCTCCGAGGAGAGGTTATTCCTGAACATGAGTTTGCGACGGGACCAGTGTGTCTTGATGATGAGAATGAGTTTCCCCCTGTGAGCATTAGGGATCCTTAAAACAGCGGCTCAGTCTATACACGCTTTGAGGGAAACCTTCGCCTCGTGCAAGGGGCGAAGGCACCTTCCCCGTTAGCTAATCTAGAACAACTAATCCTCCTCTCTAATACTCAGAAAGCTGTTAAGTGTTGGTTGTGCTATGCGCTGCCAATTCTACAGCCTAGCCACCAGGTCGCACTCAACACTACAGCGTTGGAGTAACCGAATACTAATCCAGAGAGTCTCCGTGGCCTCGCTTGCTACCTTTTGGGACCTTGAATCCTTGACTTTGCTTCTTTAGCACTATCTCAGCTGCTCATAAGGCAGGGACTTTTGCCTGTGTTCACTCTTATTTTCGTGAGGCTCCTAGGGGTGCTGTTGCAAAATGCTTCTGTGTTTGGACTAGAGATGATCCTCTAACAGGGCTGGGCCACTGTGTTCTGAAGGCAAGCTGGAGCCTCCAGCTCTGACTGGGCAGACCCCAGCCTCGGCAGCAGCTGCAGGCCCTTGTTTATTAACGGCTGTGCGGAGAGCGCCCCTGGGCAGCGCCAGCTGGGCTTCCCAGCATCCTGCTTCAGCTGTGCTGGCAGCGAGGGCCCCCAGGGTTGGCTGGGCACCGCGCTTGGCTTCTCCCAGCATCCCTGTCTGAGCAGAAGACTCCCTGGGTGGCTGCCACAGCCTCCTTAGCTTCTGATTCTTCAAGCTTCCATTTAGGGCACTGTCTGGACACCTCTTGGGAGCTTTGGTTAGAGGACAGCCCAGAGAATCAACCTGAAATCATTTAGAGACAGCAGCGTTTGGGCCGAGACTTGGAGAGTGAACTGAGTGACCCTCGCAGAGGCAGAGACGTAGCCCTGTGGGCACTGCTTCAGTGCCTGTTAGTTCCCGGTGTGCCCTGTTTTCTCCTGACCACTCCCTTGTATCAGTTAAGATTCCATTCGCTAAAGAATGAAGTGCGGGTCCAGCTCATCGCACATGACTGGAGGGCTGTGTGAGTTCCCATAAGGGCTCCATGGTTTGCAGCTTGAGATTTGCATTCTGCCTCTTAATAGGCAGCTTGCCAAACACATTGCCAACAAGTATAGTTTATATTTTAGGGGTGGAAAGCAGTGGTCCTTAAAAATACTGGTTATAAATTTAAAAACTTCTGTTGGCTGGCTGCCTCCCAGCGTACCAGTTGTTTTTTGCCTTTGGGTTGTCAGGCCCCAACTAACTGGAAAGGGGGGTTTTCTGTCACCCAAAAGCGGGTGGTTATTTACGTGAAGGTGCATCTTCCAGGAACCAGGGTAAGTCAGATACAGTTGGGGATAAAAGTGACTATTAGGTTTCATTTCAGTAATTTTGGTAAAAGTTTGTGACTGCTATAAAAGGTTATTATATTAACTGGAATCAGAGTAGGTCTTATGACCACTTATATTTACAGAATCTGGGTACTTCAGATATCGCCATTCAGGAGGTGATCTCTTGCCAAAGAAAACTTGTATAAAATTATAGGTACACTATGTAGAGCATTTGTCTGGAGTTAAAAAAAGAAAAATGAAGATGCTTAAGGCCTAGTCCCATGGCCTATTCGCCTGTGCACTGCCAGGAAGCTGAGTGTGAGCCAGTTGCCCTGTCTCCCTCTTGGACCGAAGGAGTGAAAGTTGGTTTAAATTACGTCAGGGGTTTTCATTTATATACGAGGCAGGCTTCCTGTGGTGAGATCACTGAATGTGCTTCCCTAGCGTGGCTGTCAGACCCAGGCAAGCGTTGGGCAGCCTGTGTGCAGTCACTGGGAGGTGCCACAGGGGCCGCCAGACCCCAGCCTGAGCCCGCAGCTGATGGCAAGGAGAAGGCCGTGCCCCTACGAGATACCGACGCGGCAGCAGACAGGTTTCTCCATCTCAGCGCGCAAGGGTCAGAGACGTGAGCGCTCCTGGGACGTTCTCTCAACGTGGACCGTCTTGGTCACACCCTTCCTGGCAGTAATATTCAACTGGAGATGCTAGGACAGCTTCCCCTCTCTGCCTTTGTTCTTCTATGCCTAGTATAGAAATAGCTGTCCAGAATTCACACCTCTACCCACATTCCTTAAAAACTTCCAGGACTGTGAACGAATCTTGGAGCCTCAGCTTGGTTAAAGTCACTTCTCCTGCAGACATGGATGTGCACTTACCTGGATAGTCTCCTGAGGGCTCCAGGGGGCTTTACCTTAAGCACATGGGTCATCACTAGTGGTCTTTAAAAAAAGAAAAATACTGACACTTCCCTGGATATGACCACTCTTATCTCCTGGGGATTTACTTTTCTCCTATAGCAATGAAAGAAAAGAGAGCTGACTGTTTCTGGTATTTTAGGAAGATGCAGTATTCAGGAGGGTGGGCAACCTCTGTTTCTGTAACAAGCCAACCTTTACAAGTGGGTGTTTTCTGCCACTAGCCTTACTCCAGTGAGCAAGAATAAGGGGACGGGGACCAGGGGTATTTACTGACTTTTTAATAATGACTTAGCAGTCTGTGTTTACAAGATGAGCCTTTTTAAAAAATCCACATATACATATACACACACCCCCCAATATTTTATATAAAGTCAGTACCTTCTGAAACTGCCAGACTCACCTGCGCCTAAGTAGGGTGGGTGAGTGTTCTGTGGCCGTGGCGCGCAGCCCCCCGCCAACCCCGCATGGGCACAGATCTGTGTATAATGCAGCCTGCTTAACAGCCTCTTCCTGGAGAGAGTAAGGCCATTCTGTTTTGATTTCGGTAGATAATCTTGTGCCGTGGAAGTCAGAAGGGCAAAACGAAGCAGTCATGACGAGAAGCGCACCTCAGAAATCAGGACACCCCCTATGAGGTGGCTTTGGAGAAAACAAGGAAGGTGGAAGAATGGAGTGCGATTGTGGGCTCAGAGTGGGGGGCAGGAATCCCAGGTGCCGCCTACTTAAGCCACAGGACACGGTCCGCTGCTCAGCAAGCCCTCCTCAGCCCTGGCTGCCCGTGGGTACGGGAGACACGGTATACACACCCTGCTATTTAAAATATATTACAGCCATAATGTCCCTACTAACTAACCATATTGGTCTATACCGGAATTTTATATTAAGAAGGGCATCCTTTTTAAATGTATGCTGTGTAAAAATGTACTTAGAGGAAGATGTCTTTGAATTGTATTTCTTGTATATGACTTACATAGACTATTTTAGCCAAGCAAAGTATTTTTTGCAGTGATTGAAGTAAATCACTACCTTTGAGTCCCATTTAGGACACTAATAATAAAATCATGGCAATGCATTTTTGAGGCTCTGAAAATTTATTTCTTTGTGGTTTTAAGAAGCAGAAAGAACTCCCCAGCCCTTTAAAACACAGCTATTTGACCTTTACAAGGGGTTGGGGAAGGTGGATAGAACCATGGACTTACATGTGGGCTGTCCTGCTCAGACACCTGGAAACGCCTGACCTTGTCTGGTCAACATTCATGCTGCTCAAGGCATCCCCTGGGGCGTCCTAGAGATGGAGGACCTCACGCCCCAGCCCGGACCTTCCAAGTCAGAATATGTATTTTCCCAAGCTCCCAGGTGGATTGTATGCATATTAAAGGTGGAGAAGCACAGCTCTAGGTGCCAGCTGGGACAAACCTCTACTAAAATGACCAGTGAAACTAAGTGTAAAAAAAAAAAAAAAAGAGAGAGACTAAAACATACTGAACGCCTGCCTCAAGTGTCAGGTAAAGTGCCAAGCATTTTCATGTAGTGCCTGCCGGAATCCTCAAAAATCAGCTTGCAAGCTAGGTCAAGTAGCGGCCCAAGTTCAAACGCTGGGGCTTGGACCTGGTCTGACTCTGAAGCCCGTGTGCTTCCCATTACAGCTCTTTGCAGCTTGCTGTCCTCTCAAGCAAGCGTGCCAAAGGGGCAGTGGGGGACGCAAAGGGATGGCTTCCGAACAAAATTCTGAGACTTTTCTTAAAGTGTAACTAACTATAAATAGGGTAACACTGAAGTTAGGGGGTGCGCTTGCCCATCTTCCTTCCCGACGCTGCTGCCGGTGGGAACACTGGTTGGCAAGGTGGGTTGGCAGCGGCAGGCAACGTGGTGGGGATTACAGCAGGGAGTCACCGAAGGGTCCTGCGTGTAGTCTGCTCTGGAGACGTTGTCATCAGCAACGTCATGAAGGACATCTGCAAGAACCTCTCTGACCGCGGGCAGTACACTCTGGTATTCAGCACCGCCTGTTTCTAGAGGCACAGCTTCTGCAGCATCATCTTCCAGATTAAAAATAAGCGGAGGCTCATGATGCTGCTCAGGCCCCACACTCCCGTCACAGGCTTTGGCTCCACCTGGAGAGAGGGTGACAACAAACACCTGGTCAAACCCATCTCTAGCCCCGTGTTGTAAGAGGGCAGGCCTGTGATGGATTATGAATTAATTCAAACACACCAGCACTTGACTATTCCAATGAATGCCCTCCCTGTCATAGAAATTACCTTGAGGATCTAAGTGCCCATTCCACGATGCTCCTGTTGTCCAGAATCACGTGGAACTTCTCCTTGGACTTGCCTTCAGAGCCGGTAGACCATTCATTCAAGTATCTTTCATCTCTGCCCTTGAAGAGTAAATTTGTTTGTTTTTTTAAATTGCAAATATATTCAATCTGGTGAATTAGGCAGGTGGACAAGGCAACTAATTTCACTTTGGGCTGCAGGTGAGCTTCTTGCATGAATTAGGGTCTGGCTGTTAAGGCAGTCCCAAGGAGGAGAGGCAAATGTTTGGAGTGAGGGCAGCATCCTCAGCTGTTAATGTTTTGGATGACTTTTTTGTTGTTTGTAAGCCTTCTCCATGCAAAGAAATAGTTAGGGTATCTGACAAAAATTAATATAATACAACTGAATAAACAACGGATAGTCCTCGGAAATACAGGAGAGGTCCTGAAGACCTCCTTTGACTCTAAGCTTCTCAGCAGCCAAACATTAGCAAGTTAGAAACTTAAATTCAGTCGCTCAGGAGAAGCAGAGTATTTTCTGGCACTGAGGTGTGAGAGAACTTTTTCCAATGGCTCCTCGTGCATTCTTATGAAAAATACAGCTGTGTGATTAGGATGGTCCGCGATGATTTCTTCTTATGCCTTTTATTAACAAGATGAGAGCACAACATCAAATGCAATTCAATAACAGCAGGTCTACAGGGGCCAGAGCCGTGCTCCTAAGGATGCAGCTTTCATTCTGGTCCAGTCTGGACAGAAGTGAAATTTGAAACATTGAGTGACAAGAATGGGTAGATCACATACCCTGTAAGGACCCGTCCATAATGGTTTTCCTCCTCTGATTGAGATTCGGGTTGGTCAGCAGAGTAGGCAAGTTTATTGCCTTTGCCTAGTTTGCGATCAAATTTGGCTCTATTCACCGACAATACAGAGAGGTCATGTGAACTTTGGCAGTCAGTCAAGTGAACGTTGGTATTGACTCTTCATAAAAATTAAAGACTTCCAATTAAGGGAATAGTGGGGGTGGCTTGCATATAACTAATCTCTCTATAGATAACAATTATGCATTTTAGGCAACATTAAAAAAAATTGAAGGCACTAGAAAATAACCAACACAGGCCGAAACTGTGTTTTCCTTCAATCCTCGAAGGAAAGAAGCCATATTGGGTTGGGTCTCTTTAAAAGTTTTTTCCCTGGTAAGGACTACCCTCCTCCGCACCCCCAGCCCGCACAGCACGGAGCAGCTAGACCCCAGGAGGAAGCTGCAGTCTCTTTGGCTTGAGGTGGCAGAAGACAAGAGTTCAGGGCTGCCACAACAGATGAAAGTTGGTGAGCAAAATCCTGGGTGGGAGGGGACTGGCAAGGGGAAGCATCCCAATCTGCAAATAAGCTTCTTTAAAATCCTCGGCTGACCCCTGAACTGTGCATGCACAAGGGAGACAGGTTCTAGCAACAGCTACAAGTCTGAAGAGTTCAGCAGACATTTCTGTGCTACCCACTACAGGGAAGATGGAGTTTAGAGTGTAGATTCTATTAAGTTAGAAAGGCTTCATAATCATTTCATATTTTCCATTGAAGTCCCAAAAGGTTCGTGCTAGGGGTAAAAACCATGTCAGAGGACAGAGGCATTTACTATGATTAAGGACCAAAGCTGAAAGAGCCAGTTCTAACAAAGTGTAAGGCCAAGCCTACACAAGTTTAAGGGGATTACAAGTTAGTAATTAACTACCCATGACAACAAAAAAAAAATAACACTCCTTAAATTACAGGAGTCAGAATCTCTACAAGGGGTCGCCCATAATGTCAAGTTGTTTTTTTTTTTAAACTACTGAATAGGAAACCCAGTTTCTAGCCCAGCATGTGAGGAGCTTATTAGGTGTTATAATTCCACCCTAACAAGTGAAAAACTGAACAATTGGAAAAAGTAACGATGCTTCTTAGATCTGCAGAGAAGTGAGGTCACAGGCAAACTGGGGCCCCCAAAACCGCAGACACAGGTGAATAGAGAGAACTCCAACACACCAGAGCAGCTGCCCGTGGGAACCCATGGTAGAGCGAGGCCTCTACCATGACTGGCGAATCGCTGGAGGCTTAGCTTGTACCAGTCTGAGAGTTACACATGCCAGGGGGGTAAGAAGAAGAAGTCATCACTGGACTATCCTAACCACACAGCTGGATTTTTCCTAAGTTATTTCTTAGATGGAAATTTTAAGAAAGAATAAAAAAGAAATGCTAGTGATCAAAAACACTGTGACAGAAATAAAAATAATGATTTTGATGGCTCGTTAGGCTGAACACAGTCGAGAAAAGAATCTCAATGCTTGAGGATATCTCAAAAGAAGCTTCCAAAATTGAAAAGCAAAGGCAAAAGAAAAAAGAAAAAAAGATCGAAGAAAACCAGAACAGACTATCCAAGAACTGTGGGACAACTACAAATTTATAACAAATGCATAATGGGAATAACAGAGAAGAAACAGAGAAAGGAACAAGAGAAATTTATGAAATGATAAGGACTGAGATTTTCCCAAAATTAAAGTCAGATACCAATCCTTAGATCAAGGAAGTTCAAAGAACACCAAGCAGGATAAATGCCTGTAAAAGACAATGCCAACAGAATAAGATGACAAACCATAGACTGGAAGAAAATATTTGCAAAAAATTGTATCTGATAAAGATCTGTTAAACAAAATATACAAAGAACTCTTAAAAGTCAACAATAAGAACATTAACAACCTGAACAGACCTGAACATGTGCAAAAGACCTGAACAGATATCTCTCCAAAGTTGCTATACAGTTAGTTAATAAGCCTATGTATGGTTGTTCACCATCATGTCCTTAGGTAACTGCAAATTTAAACAACAATGAAATATCACTACATGCCTATGAGAATGGCCAAAATTGAAAACAGTAATAACACCAAATGCTGGCGAATATGCAGAGCAATGAAACTTTCACTCACTGCTAATAGGAATCCAAAATCATACAGTTACTTTGGAAGATAGTTTGGTGGTTTCTTACAAAACTAAACAGATTCTTAACATATGATGTAGTGATTGTATTCCTTGGTATTTACCCAAGTGAGTTAAAAATGTATGTCCACACAAAGACCTGCACATAGATGTTTGTAGCATAACTGTCAAAACAATTCATGATGGTGAAAACTTGGAAGCAACCATGATGTCCTTCAGTGGGTGAAGGGATAAATAAACTGCAGTGCATCCACACAATGGAATGTTACTTAGCACTAAAAATAAATGTTATCAAGCCATGAAGACACAAAGAAACCATAAATACTGCATTAACCAGCATAGGCTGCCATAACAAAATACCATAAAAAACTACAAATCAATATCCCTTATGGACCTAGATGCTAAAAAACACCTCAACAAATGCTAACAGACTGAATCCAGCAGAACATTAAATAAAAAAATTATACACCATGACCTAGTGGGATTTATATCTGGGATGCAAGGTTGGCTTAACATACAAAAATCAATGTAAAACAATGTATGTTGCCCTGACTGGTGTGGCTCAGTGGGCTGAGCACTGGCCTGTGAACTGAAGAAGTGTCATGGGTTCAATTCCCAGGCAGGGCACATGCCTGGGTGGAAGGCCAGTTCCCCAACTGAGGGCGTGTGGGAGGCAACCGATGGATCGCTCTCTCACACATAGATGTGTCTCTCCCTCTCTTCCTCCCTTCCTTCCTTTCTCTCTAAAAAAAATAAATAAAATATTTTTTTTTAAAACAACGTATGTTAATAGAATAACTGACTGAAAAATGATCATCTCAATACATGCAGAAAAAAGGCATTTAACAAATCCAACATCCTGTCATGATATAAACACTCAGCAAACTAGGAATGGAAAGGAACTTCCTCAATCTGATAAAAGGTGTCTATGGAAACCCCACAGCTAACATCATACTTACGGTGAAGAATGACAGCTTCCCCACTAAGATCAGGAATAAGAAAAAAAGGTATGTTCTTACCACTTAAATTCAACATTTGTACTGGAGGTTGTAGCCAGAGAAATTAGACAAAAACAAAAAACAAAAGGCATCCAGATTGAAAAGGAAAAAGTAAAATTACCTCTACTTATATAGATGAATTATATAGAGAAAAACAAATGGACAAAACTCTCCAATTAAAAAGCAGAGACTGTCACACTGGATGAAACAAGAGTCTTCTTCATGCCATCTACTATAGATTTGTCCAAAATATAAAGCAGATGAGTTGAAAGTAAGAGGAGGAAAATAGAGATATACAAATAGTAAGCATAAGAAACTGGAGTGACTATGTTAGTATCAGACAAAATATACTCAAGACACGTAGTACCAAGCTATAGAGGGACATTTCACTTTTAAGGAAGACAAAACTAAAAGGAAATATAGACAAATCCACATCCTAAATGGATACTCTAACACCCCTCTCTCAATAATTGATAGAACTAGGCAAAAAATTAGAATACAGATGATTTGAACAACTATCTATCACTTCCATTTAACTGACATTTATGAAACAATATACCCAAGAACTATAAATACACATTATTTGCTTTACTCCCACTTGGTATGTTCACCAATATAGACCATATGCAAGGCCATGTAAGTCTCAGTAAATTCCAAAAGATTAAAACAGCCAAGAGCAATTTTCTAACCATAATAAAGTTAAATTAGAAAGTGCAAAAATAAGATAGCTAGAATGGCCCCCAAATCTGTAAGTTAAGCAACACATTTCAAATTGGAAAACACTTTCAACTAAATGATAAGGAAAAGAAAGCATATCGGTATTTGTGAGCTGCAGATAAGGGAGTGCTTAAAGGGAAAGTTGTATCTACAAATGCTTATATTTGAATACAAGAAAAGTTCAAAACTAATTACCTGTATCTCCACTTGAGGAAGCTAGAATAAATAGAGGAAATTAAACTCCAAATAAGTAAAGAAAGAAAGAATAGAAATGAAAGCAGAAATCATGACACAGAAAACAATAAAGGAAATTAACAAAGCCAAAAGCTCGTTTGTTAAAAAGGTTAACTAAATGGATAATGAGGAAATATTATGAAAATTTTATGCTAATAAATTTGACAACTCAGATTAAACAAATTATTTTAAAAATGTAACTTCCCACAGCTGATTCAAGAAATATAAAATCTAAATATCCTTATATCTTTAAAGAAATTAAATTTATAACCAAGAACTTTTCCTTCAAGAAACATCCAGGTGCAAATAGGCACACAGGTAAATTTAATCAAACATGAAAGAAATAACTAGCCTTACGCAGACCCTTCCAGAAAACAGAGGAGAAGGGAACACGTCCCAACTTATTTTATGAGGTCGGCAAAACCCTGACACCAAACCCTGACACAGACAATATAAAAAAAGAAAAATGATGACAAAAATCTTAGCAAATCAAACCCAGCTAAATTAATTAATTGATTGATTTTGAACCACGACTAGGTGGGGTCTATGCAGGAATTCCAAGTTGACTTAACATTTAAAAATTAGTGTAATTCAAAGCATTAAGAGGATACATACACAAGTATACACATTAATTAAAACTTAACAAATTTTTTGTACCGTTTAGATCTGAGCCTTTCACTGTGTGTAAAGGTTGCCTTGATTACTTTTGAAAACATGAAAGAGCAATAAGATACCCTAATTCTAGGCCACACAGACTGGTTGCTTTTTTAAGGCCACTCCTAGTTCATGGCCATAAAATCATAACCTCGTCATAAAAGGACACACGTCTTGATCTAATCTAATGTAGATGTCAATTCATCTAGTCTATCCAAAACCAGCACTAAGGGATCGGGGTGCAGGTGTCCAGGGGCTGCGGCGGGGAGGAATCTGAGCATGTCCCTGTTTCGTCCTGTTCTGTTTCATCCCATCTGCTGAGATTTCAGTCCTTCCCACCCTGACTCCCTGGGGAGTCTGATGTTGCCTCAGAACAGACACCCCCTGGGTGTTATCATTCCTGTGTGACTGTGATCATTTTAAACAGTTCTGTTACTTCATAGTAACATTTATTATTCCAACACTGTGGTGCCAAGGGCTTTCTGGCAGGGTTCTTACTTCTGAAATTAACTCAGCCTGGGGAAACCATACCTCTTAGATAATGTAATGTAAGGACGGTAATCTAGAAACTTTCCATCTGAAAGCATAACAATTATCTGACCGGTTTGCGTTTTAGGGTTTGGAGAATCAAAGATTGTTGTGGCATTTTTAATGTCCTCCAAGTTATGAACTCATAGAACTTGTTTTGTTTTTATGCCACATTTTCTTCAGGGTCACTTATTTACACTCAGGGAAAATACTTTTTGTTCTGCATTATATAATTCTTTGGAAGGCTCTAACATTAAATAAGTGAATCAAATTGGAATCCATGTCAGGTCCCAGATTTTGATGGGGTTTGGGTTTTTGTTTGTTTTTCATTCATTAAAAAGGAATTCTAAAGTTCTTATGAGGTGCAAGATACTATGCCATGCACTTCAGGACAATAAAGATTAAGGATCTTACAGAGCTCTGATTTTAGAGGGCTTAAAACTAGTAGAGGAAATAAAACATGTACCTAAATGACTGGCATATATGTAAGAAAAGAGTTTGAAACTAGGGAATATATAAAATGGAGTCACTTTAACCAAGCTGCTAAAACTAATATTATGAAGGCTGAGGCATGAAGAAACAAGTATATTCTTGTTGTAAGTAGCCTGGGAACTTTAACTTTTTGAACTTTCCAGTCCTGCATCAATGCCTGCCTATGTATCTGGACATACATACCAGTCTTCCAGATGATGATTACCCCCTGAAGGACTCACGTATATATCCTCCAGACATCTGGCTGACAACTCTCTTGGATGAATCCTAAGAATGCAGGATTGATAATTCTCAAGAATGTACTTTTTACTATAAGAACTCTTAACTTTTCTTTCTTCTTTGAAACACTTCTGGGTTTTTACCTGTGTTCCCAGTATGCAAATTCTAAGGACCTTTAAATAAATCTTTATCATTTATTTCTAACAAAGCCTGCAGTCACTTTGCGTTTGTTTGACTCACAACAGAATGTGATAAATATCAGATTTCTCCAGACCCTACACAGCTGGGAAGATACGAGAGAGTGTTATGATCGAGGCCAATAAAGAGGGTCCTTGCTCTTGGAGAAAACTGGAAAGGGAGAGAGACCCAGAGTGGAGGAAGTATGAATTCAGTTGGCAGAGAGAAGCTACTGGAAGATTTTGAGACCCATTCTAATCCAGCCATCACATTAATAAAACATACGAGTACATTTAAGATGATCACCAAGTGAACCCAGAAGCAGAGACTCCTGTTGGTTTGCTAAACAGACCTCTCAACTCTATTTTCTGAAACAGCCCATTGTCAAGTAAATTACACTCCAAATATCTCCAAGCTTCCATTTAACGTTCTTCCAAGCTGGCATCTACAACATAACAGTGAAGTGTGTTTAAAAAAAAAAAAGAGAGAGAGAGAGAAAGAGAAGAAAAGAAACAACTGGCCAAAATGGAGTCACTTGTGCTAAGCCACATCATCAATCCAAAACCCACTAATCTAACTGCAGTTTCAGCCTCTCTCTGGAGTAGAATTTTAAACCAATCAGTCTGGAATTTCCTGATCAATACTATGAGATTATCTGCAGGATTAAACCCCTGCCCCTTCTTTCTCCCAAAAGATGACTGCCCTAAAAATAACCCTTTCTTTTCTTTTGCTAATAACTCCCCTGCTGCACCCTTTTGCCTATTAAAAACATTCCACTCCGTACGCCACCCCTGCAGAGCACCTTGCCAGTTGCTAGACAGGTTGCTGCCCAGTTCATGAATCACTTAATAAAGCCGAGTAAAGCTCCAAATTTACTCAGTTGCATTGTGTTTACAAAGGAAATGTTCTTCAAGTGAAAACGACTGTCCAAATGTGCTAAACTAGCTCTGAGCCTGTTGCAAATTTAAACCAACAATAGGAAGACCTTTGTCTGCTGCGTACTGTGGGCCCCCAGGGCCTGTGCTGGGCCGTGGGTGTTGGGACCTTCCGCTGGGCCCAGGCTTTGGCAGGAGGCAGGGGGGCGGGGCACTGTCAGAGGGGCTGAGGGCTCCCCAACTCATTCCTGGAGGCCTGAATGAGAGCCCAGACGGGGCGGGGGCGGGGGGGCGGCAGGGGCCACCGTCCCGGCGTGCAGGCCTGCGCCGCACTAACTCACCAGTAACGAAGAAGGCCTTGTAACGCTCCAGGCGGACAGTCTGCAGGGCTCCATACTCTCCAGCTGCCCCACTGTTGGGGTGAAACAGCGCCTGAGGAAGGGCCGCAGGGCTTACTACTAAGGAAACGATGCGCAATGCTCCCTGGGAAGCATAGCTTCCTTTGTCGTGTTCCCTTGTTCCCATCACCCCCACTATCCTCACCCCCCGCCCCGACCCCAACCCTGCCCCAAACACTGACAGAAACAAGCCTGTAGTCCACCCCAGCCCACTCTCGGGAGCTCCTGCGAACTAGAGAAGGTTACTGCTCTAGTAAGACTCCTAGGCCCAGTATCAGCATGTGATTTGCAGGGTCCAGTGCAAAATGAGAATGAGAAAAACCAGCCACTTGCCCAGGAGGCCGGCCCTGCCTGGGCGCCACCCTCCAGGTTCAAGATGGGGCCTGTGCGTTTCAGATTCCCAGGGATTCTGATGCAGGCGACCCTCAGCTCTCTTTGCAAAATGGCTTCTTCAGCACCCAGTCGATTTTTTAACTCTCACTCGGGCAAGGATGGCATAAGGAGGCACAAGGAGAGGACCTCTGAGAGTGACTTCTCCAGGAATGGGCACGGCCTGACCTCTGAACAGGAATTCTGTCTTCCCCTCCGATTCAGTTCTGCCCCACTCAGATGGAGGGACTCCTTCCTCAGCAAGTCACAGATGAAAGAATCCCTACAGAATGGAAACACCTAATTCAGGGTTCCCAAGGGCAGGATTTAGTACAAAATAAGTGACCAGTGTCCTTGGTAGGTTGGTGGGTTTGGGCTGGAAATGGGAGACCGCCCTGGTATGAATCATGACCGATATATATCACTGGTAAGGCACTTATGTGATTCAGAGTTTCCATGGAGCTAAAACGAAAGAAAAAAAATGAGAAACGTCTGTTGGAGCAGTAAACAGCTGTCCCCTCAAGTCTCCGGCTCTGAGAGGATGCCGAGGGTGGGGCTCCTCGCACACCTGCCTCTTCCGTGCTGTGCTCTCGTGACAACCTCTACAGCTCCCCAGCCAGCATGATGAGAGCGGGCTCCTTCCAAACAGGAAAAGAAGTCGTAACTCAAAACCCTCACTTCTTCCAACCCTGCAGGAAGCCAAGCCTCTCACCGCAGGACGCTGTTTGGTTTCCTTCTGGGGACGGCAGGAAGAGGGAGACTTGGAAAACCTATTGTCAACCAATCTAGAATGCGCTCCGATATCCAGAAGATGGGAGTCGAGGTCCGCTGGTTCAAATCATTGACATAGCGTCTCAGTAACAGAAATTCCATAGTGTGGGCTGGAATATTTATGCGACGTTACCAGAGGCAACTTCCACAATCCAAGAGGAAGCTAATTTTGGGACGGCTCATTCTCAGAACAAGGATGGATTTTGGAAAACTTGCATATGCCTTTTTCTTTCCTTTAAACAGACTGATTATAGCGTTCTTGTTTATATCAACATAGGAAGGAGGTTGGCAAATTTACCATGAATCACAGCTGCAGATATTTCCTCTGCAGAGGACACCGGGTCCAAATTTCAAAGATGAAACTATCTTCTGAAAACATGTTGCACCTTCTCAGTTGCCTTTCTCACCTGTTTGCTTTCTTTCATTCTATTTTGTGTTTAAGCGCGTGAGCATCGCCCTACCTTCGGTCCTGAAGGCCGGCGCCTACGCCACATCCCCAGAAAGAGGCCCTCCTGCTCCACAGGGCGGGGGTGCACAGCTCGAGTCCTTTCCAGAAGCGGTCGGCCCTTCACCAGCCGTGCGGGGTGGCGTCTTTCGCCACTAGGGGCCTCCCTAAGAGAAGTGATCCGCGTTTCAGAGACTAAAATCCAGCTTCTGTCCCTTCAACGTATGGCCTCCGGGGACCTGCCAAGCATTGTAGGACCCACGGCAGCCCCAGACTGGTTTGGGCTGGGCAGCGGCAGAGCCACTCACCAAGCCTTCCCTTTTTGTACTTGGTCACAGCAGCAGCCTGAGGCTGAGATATGACTTGACCAGTGGAGATATTATGACCTCCCACTTCCATCTGGGAGATGGGTGAGTACAAAGTGGGAATTGGGTGCCAGGCTGCGCGCCCTCCCCTTGTGGACCCCCTCCCCCTCCTTGTGGTTGCCCTCTTTGCCAAGACACAGACCTGTCAAGATCCGAAGCAGAAGGCTCAGTAAATGCAAGAACATGCAGCCTGGCGTCGGCTGTTGTTCATTTTGAACATCACATCACATGATGTCCCTGGCTGCCCGTGAAGTGACTAGTGAGAAGACCATTCAGTAGGAAAACCAGTAGCCAATTAATCTGCCTCTCAACAAAGGGTCCAAGAGGGTGCCAAAAAGTAAGTAGTAAGTGCCTCTAGGTTTTACTTCATTTGCAAAATGGGGAAGAACCCAATTGCTGAAACATAGTTGCATATTGTATTGAGATGACTATCTAGGAGTTACTTTGAGCTTCCTGAAACCAAAATGGTTTTCTTCTAAGGCAAGCCACATTAGAATCTTTTTAAGCCCAGGACGTAACTAAGGGTAAACACAATTAAATGGCACTTATTTAAAAATGTGTGTGTACACACATATATGTGTGTGTACATCCATATAATCACTCAGTTTTACCTCCTGGCCTTCCTTCAGCAAGTTAGAGATGATTTATTGTAGCCTCTTTAGTAGCTGACCAGAAAAGTCCAAGGCCAAGTTCAGACCAAGGCCAACAGCTACCTATGTTGTCCTCAAGCTCCAAATAATCTTATAGCAAGCGTCTTCACTAATGCTGCCAGAATCTAGTGCTCGGTGAGGGGCTGGGAGTGGCCCACAGGTGCCTGCACTCATGTGCTTTTACTCTTGAAGATCTCAGCAGCAGCTTCTAGCAAGAAGTAAACTGGGGATTTCCATCTGGGCCATGGGGTGCGGTTAGTCTAACTCCAGGTGCATAACCACATATCATGTGTTCCCACATGTCATATGTTCCCACAAAAAGCCCAAATGGCGCTGTGGTTTGTATCTGGTCCTCCTTCCTAATTCCTAGGCCCAACCCCTTTGGGCACTAGACCAATGACTGTTGAGCCCTGCGGATGGGGCCTTCACGCCTCTGCAGACTTGAGAAAGAGAACGAGCAGTCCCCCCTCTGAGAACGGAAGTTGGTGCAGAGGAGCTGGCTTGCACAGGCAACCGACAACAGCAAGACCACAGTCCTTGAAGCACTTCCTGGTGACCCCAATTATTCTATTGGTAGCCATGGTGACAAACACTCAGGAGCACCTCCACTGATGTCCTGGATACTGACGTCACAAGCTGCAAACTTCCAGCCTGAAGGAGGAAACCATCTTCCTGCTTTGCTGCTGCTCAGGAGTAAGGCTCTACTGGGAGAGTCTGCGGCTCTAGACGATCGGATATTCCGGAAGGAAGCAGTCCTTCTTTGGGGGACGTGCCAGGTGTCATCTGACAATACCTAGAAACTGATGAGTGTTCAGAAGCACCGATGACCCACTCAGGCTTACTGGGGTGGGCCGAGTGGGAAGGGCTGCTTCAGCAACTGCCACAGTACATTTGAGCGGCATATGAGTCATTTCCGTGTGACCCTTGGTAAAGACATAAATATAAATAGACCCTTTGATGTGTGGGTCCCTAATTGAAGAGCGCTGTGCTCGCAGAGCCTTACAAAGGGGGTTCCGGTTCCTCCATCCTCCTTCCCTCCTCCCACTTCCTCTTCCCCTTTTGGCGAAAGGAAAACACACAGAAATGACAAGGAAAGGTCATCAGGCCTGCTATGTCTTGGCTGCGCTTCAGAGCACCTGACGAGAGGACACTGGGCATCCGGGGAGCACAGGCACAGGGCTAGCGTGGAGGCTGCAGAGCCTCATGCCCAGCCCTCCAGGAGCCAGGGGACCATCCCTGCCACCCAAAGGTCTCTCACAGGGAAAAAGTACCCATGTGCACCCAGCCTCTGCCAAATTGTTAGACAGAAATCTGGAGTGGCAAACTGGGCTGCTTACCACTGGGGGAAGTGGAGGAAGGGAGAGGAAAGGGAGGTTCATCTCCAAGTCACCCTCGGGGGTTCGGAAACTGGGTCTACAGCGGCCCCTTGCGTGCATCTCCTGAGGACGGCTCAGCCTGCACAAAGGTGAACAGGTCCCAGGGGAAGAGCAGCAGGGACATCCCCCGAAGAGCCCGTGGGGGGCACGTTTCTCCCCCACTTACCCTGTGCCCAGTCTGCGAGCCGCCGAAGAGCACCTCCGAGGCGTCCAGACCATCGAAGTGTCGGCCCGGGGGCAGGCTGGCCCCAGCCAGGGCCAGCACGGTGGGGAAGATGTCCAGCACGCTGCGGGAAGAGTCAGACAGCCTTGGCCCCAGGTGGTCCCACACTCCTGTCCTGGCCACGCTGTGGTCAAGACCCACCGGGACCAGCCCCAACCCAGCCTCCTGGATGGCCCACCCCCTCCACCTGCCTGGCCTTCCTTTGGGTTCCACCTGGATTTCTGCCCCTACGAGAGGCAGAATGGCCTGGCGGTTCAGGCCCCGGCTCCGTGGCCAGGTGCTGCCTGCCTCAAATCCCAGCGCTGCCACTTCTCTGGCTCCTCAGGGCTTCGGTTTTCTGTTCTCTAAGATGGATGTATTAATAATAAATGCACAGAGAAGAAGCTGGCGCTCAGAAAACGCTCTTTGGACCTGTGTTGTAACTGTTCACAGGGACACCGCTGCAGACCTATCTAAGCAGTTCTACCTGTCACCAACTAGGCCACAGCCACTTGCTGAGAGGGAAGTGTGGGAGCAGGTGTCTGCAGGAGAATGTGTGCTTTGTTTTTCCTTCCCTGGGTCTCTGTAGGCTTTGTCTAGCATCCCATGATAAATGAAACACTCCATCTCCTTTAACTTAGCTCTTTTTTCCCAATACAAAACAGTAAATGTTTATGATAGAAAAAAGTAGCACATCCAGACATATAAAGGACGAAACAAGGCACACACAGTCCACCACCCAAAGGCAGCCATTAACACTTGGGTGGATTATGTTGATATGATTTTTTTAGCTCACATGGTACCATTTTACACTACTCTAGGGCACATCTCCATCCAGCCTGCTGGGCTCATGTTGGAAACAACTCCTCAGCAGGAACTGACTGGCTGCCCTTTCAACAGAGCTGCTGATCTGACGGCCAGGCCGAGGAAGGGTCCGCGTGACATGATGGAGCCAGGAGGGCAGGACCTTCACGAGGCTGGACTCCCCCAGGAAAGAGGCTCTGGTTGGCCTGAGGCTGAGCACAGCAGCAAACTTCAATGCACTCATGGGGAGGCCTGAAGGGTCACACCTGCCTCTTCCCCCACTGGGCCTCAGGCGAGGGGCGCGCGTCCCTCCAAAAGGAGCTGCAGGTGGGACCTGCCATGCACCTCCTTCTCCTCTGCGGGGCTCTGCCTGCACCCCCAGGCAGAATCTCTCCTTGACTACAGTACAGAGTGTTTCTGGGTTGCCTTCCGCTTTCACAGTCCCGTAGCGGTGACCTCTCTCTTGAGACACATGCTCCAGGAGCTGGCATCCCACACTGAGGCAGCGTCGCGGAGTGCAGGGTAAGCATTTGTCAAGTACAGCGCAGTCCAGAAACCTGTCCCGAGTCCAGGGTTCCTGCCCCAAACCAGGCAGCAGGGAGGACTGCAATGCAGCGTGAAAAGGCCGTGGCGTGGTTGGGGCTGCTCGTCTGAGCTTTCTCTGATCTGCGCCCCTAAGAGAGGTCTGTGTCCAGATGGGTCAAATCAGTGAGCAAGAGAAACAGGATCTGTATTAGATTCTGGAAGGCATGGCACACTTCCTTTTTCCATCTTATTTTTTCCCCTCTGTCATGAGGCTTGGCATCCTAATTATATGGCACTAAGTCTAATGTTCTCGGAATCGTGTGTCTCAGAGTTTACTGGGAACCTCGTCCACCCAGACAGCAGAGGAGACCTCTCGCCCACAAGAAAAGCGTCAGTGCCTCCGGTGACTCGCCAACCCCAGCTCCGCTTGGCAGGCTCGGCCTGTCCCAGGCCCCTGCTCCTGTGATGGAAGCAGCCCAGCCCCTGCTGCTCCCCTGCAAGAGGGAGATCCCCCCAGGGCATGGACAGTCCCCGTGCCTCCCCAGCCTGGGAGTGACCACGGAGCCGCACCGGCTGTACAAAAGCTACCCAAGGACCCCGGCTGCCCCAGACTCCAAACCTCACCTAAGAGAGCAGTCCTGGGAGTCTTAGAACCTTGGAGACAAAAACAAACAAAAACAAAAAACCCAAACCTGACACTTCCAGGTTTCTGCGGTTTACTATGATACTTGGGGTGGAGGCTTTGGGCAGGGCCACATGCTGATGATCGTGGGACCAGGCACTACTGCCTTCACAAGCCCTTTCCTCCATACAAAATATAAAAAAAGCGCATTTCACAACCGTGTGCACGTACACGTGACTATACCAAGAGTATACATTTTCTTCAACCTAAGAGGTTTTTTTTCTTTCTTCTGGTTTTAAAAGAAAAGTAAAACTTTCATGTGCTCCCAAAGCCTCATTGGCCCCCGGCCCTGGACCTCCTGGGCCTGAGGGAGACGTGCGCCCTGACTTCAGGAGGAAGAAAACCCCACTTCCATGGCCTTTTGGTGGCGAGAAGGGCAGCCAGGGGCCTGCTCACGGAAGGAGGGGCTGAGGTGCTCCGCAGGGTGACGTAAAAGGCTGGCTCAGAGTGGGCAGGGGCACCTTTGCAGGTTCCTTTGCCTGTGTGGAAATATATTCCTTCTTTCTTACCATGGCTTCTGCCAGCCCAAGGCACTGAAGGCTGTTCAGAGGAAGTGTGTGTGTTAGTGCTTTTATCCAAGGAGCTGCCAAGGAACCTGGGCGATAGAGAGAAGGATGTGGGACACCCTGCCCCCGCAGGCAGGGGCCGGGCCGGGGCTGCTTCCCGGCCGCAGGCAGAAGCGCCTGGACTTCAGGGCCTGTGCCGATGGGAGCTGAGGGGCTGTGCTGTCCCGGGTTGGGGTGCATCCTACGGCAAAGGCAGCGGGTGGGAAGGGACGGGGTTTCCTAGAAAGGGGGGTCATTACATCTGGGGGAAAGGTGGGTGTGATCTGAAGACGGGAAGTGAGGAGGGGAGGGGGTTGCTCAGGGAAGGACCGGGGGTGTGTGGGACTGGACAGGGTGCAGGGGAAGGGAGGACTTCCTCCCGACCATGGAAGAGCGGGAAGTGTTGTTAGGACGTGGGGAGCAGTGTTTTTAGCGTTCAGTTTTAAGTTTCTTCCTGCGTTGTCATCCCCTCTCATTTCCCCTAGGAAAAGCGAGGTACCCACCCCTTCCTGGCCTAAGCCGGCTGCGGAGGTTTGAGGGGCCACCGCTTCCCCCGAGCATCGGCAGAGCCCCACGGCACGGCACGGCGTGCACGTTCATTACAGAGCCCAGTGTGGCACCCGCCTCGTCTCCCTGCTGCTGCTCACTGCCCAATAGGGAAGCGGGGCTGAGGGAGCACTTTCTGGACGTGTGGCTTGACCCTGCCCAGGGGTGACACTTCTCCTTGTAGCTCCTACTTCCAGGGCACAGTTCTGTGGCTCTAAACAGTACTGAGCCAGTGAAATCCCCGTCCACAGGACTGCCTTTTGGATGTCGAAACAGAGCTGCAAGGTTCCCCAGGGGATTATCCGCTCTCCTGGCTAAACAGCAGCTTTAGCTGTTTCTCAGATGAGATTGTTTCAAGTCTCATGCCATTCTGGTCACCTTGTACTTGCCCCAGGAGTCTCTGAAAGAGAGGTCTTCAGTTCTGAACAGATGGGGGGCCCCCAGCTCGGATGCCGAGCAGGCCCTGCACCTCTTAACATACACAAAGCTCTGAGGGTTGTCAACCAGCCTGAGTCTGTCCCTCCCAGGGGACACCTGGAGACATTTTGGTTGTCACAACCGGGGGAAGGCGTGTGACTGGCATCTAGTGGGGAGAGGCCAAGGATGCTACTAAACATCCTACAATGTGCAGGGTGGCCCCCATGACAGAGAATGACCAGCCCCGAATGTCAGCAGTGTGAGGCTGAGACACCCGCCTTCAAGCCTTAGGTTCAGACCCCCTGCAGGCCTTCTCACTTGTGCCGCCCAAGGCCTGCCCTCCTGAACGCAGGTCGGCTCCTCGCGGTCAGGAGCCACGGTCCCCAGAGCAATGCTTGATCCACAGTTGGACGCAACAATAAACATTTGTTGCATAAACAAATGTCCCCCCATTCTGTAATTGTGTCACTGAGCTTTGGGGTCAGGGCATGTGCAAGACCCTTCTTGGATCTTATCACCCCAGACGGGTGCACCCTGCAGTGTGAGCAATGGTTTTCTCTAAAAGGAAACCAATGGCACTAGTGTGGCTCCCTTCGCTCCTGCAGCCCCCTCGCAGCACACTTTCTACTTTTCTGTATCCATGTGTATATTTTTATGAACTCATCCACTCTCCAGTGTTCATAATTCTTCAGCGCCAACAGAACATAGGATAAGCGACTCTGGCCTTGTCTGGGAGGTCTACAGCCGCTGAGCTGCGAAGTACTCGGACAGCGATAAGCACCCTGGGTGTGTGTGAGTGCTGGGTTCCCAAGAACAGGAGTGTCAGCGGAAGTTTCTCGTCAGAGCTGACCCTGAGGAGATCATGGAAAAGGCAGCAGACATGCGGTGGCCTGTCCTGGCAGTAAGGACACTCCACCCAAATTTGCATGGGTTCACATGGGAAACAGCAAGAGGGTGGATTCTACAGACAAACTGTCCTGTTACAGTCAAGATGGACTTAACACCAAAAAATATCCTATGAGGGACTGATACAGTATATCAGTCCTGTCCTGGTAAAAGTTCCAGGGGGCCTGAAGCACATGTTACCCTGTACCACATCTCCCTTCCTTTGGTCCCCAAAATATCCCCTAAGTCAGTTGTCACCTCTGAGTCCTTAGGTGACCAACGAGATGATGCAGTTTTATCACACTGCTGTGGCTGACTCTAGGTGTAAACACCGTTCTCAAATGAGAAGCGCGTGCTCGGTTTTCGGTGATGTAACTTGAGAGGTGGCCGGGCTGTTTGTGCATGTGCAGCCCAGCCTGTGAGTACTTGGCCTGACTGCGTGCACCAAGTCAGCCCCAGGAAAAGCAGCCTGCCTGGCCCTCTTCCCGGTCAGCCTGACATGACAAGACTCCAGCCCCTCCTGACTGTACAGTGCTGACCCAGAGTCCTGGGGCCCATGGGTGCCAGGGCGGTGCCTTTCCGCTCCCTCCTCTGGCCATCAGAGCTGTTTACCCTTCCTTTGCCCTGGGCTTCAGTTTCTCCCCTCCCCCTGCACCAGGTCTGAGGTTGCTCAAGGTGCCCCATGACGTTGCTTTCTTCTACTATGCTCTGTTCTTGATGCCAGCACCCATTTGGCAGGTGAGGAAGAACCTGTGAAAACAGATTTGTCTTTAAACAGACAAAACCCTCCAAGCACGTGAGCAGTCACTGGCTTCTGCTGAGGGTCCCATGTCAGTGAACACAAGGCAGAACCATGTCTGGATAAATAGGAAGTCCCCAATATGATTACACAGCCACATGGCACTGTGGCACTGCTTTCAGAACGGCACGCCCACAGACAAGTTCTGTGCCAAGGAGACGGCCTCGTGGCTCTGCTTAATAAGGAGTTAAGAGTAATGGGGAGATATCACACTTACAGGTGTCCTTCTGATGCAGGAAGCACCCAGTGATCCACCTCGCTGTAGAGGCCTTGCTGCCGGAGTTAGGACGACTGTCCTCACCTAAGGATTCATTCTCACCGCACCAGCCTGGTGGCGTTACCTTCTCCCTGCCCTACAGGGCAAGTGGACATCCACATTCCTTTCTTGGGGCCACACGGTTGCCCGTGAAATGCTGGCTTCACACAGCCACCCCTAGGACACCTGCCTACCCCCAAGGATGGAATCATGACAGCTCAAAATGACCTGAGCCTGCCGTCAGCTTGGGGAAGGGAAGAAGGAGATGCTGCTGCCCTCTGCGCTGCTACCTTCTCTTCAGCACACACACCACCACGACCCAGCGCTGAAGGCCATGAAACCCGCCCAGTCCCCTCTCCACCCAGACGTTAACCGAGGTGGCTTGAAAAGACTCCACTACGCTCTTGCTTTAACTATCGGCATCCACGCTGCGCGATCTGAGCTTGGCACTGAGAACACTTGGGAAAGGCAGGTGGTGGGTGAGGTGTCTCTTCCCCAGGTCTCTAATCACTCAAGTGCCCGTAATTTTCTTGTGGTAAATAAACTCCAGCAAGTCAAGGTAGTTTGGGTCTCATACCTTAACAAGGCAGGGCTGGTGACATTCACGGGGATTTTGCCTGGCCAGTAAGCCACAGCTGGGACCCGGTGCCCTCCTTCCCAGGTGGTCTGCTTGGCTGGACTTCCCCCTGTGAAAGGAGGGGAGGCAGTTGGTTCTTTGACAGTGGTACTGGAGTCTTCTCTTCCTCTTAGAGCTACCCTCTAGGACAATAGTCCCTCTCTAAGAAGGCGCTCCAAGAGCTTCTGATAATTACAACAAAGGAGTGACTTTTAGTAAACAGCTATTTTTATTCAACCAGTTAATATGTTTTAATACGTGTGTTTATTTTACTGGACTCAACATATGTACGTAGTTGCCTCAGTCACTCTTTATAAAATCACGTCACTTTCTTCATGACACTTCACACGTCAAATTGTCTGGTTTACAGACTTGCTTATCGTGTGTCTCCATACCACAAGCCTTCATCAGTCTTAGGTACCCAAGATGTAGGTGATTAACAAGTACTTGCTAAATAAACGAATTTGTCTTCCTATTGATCATAGTGTAATTATCTGTTTAGGATGAAAAAATGCAATTGTTTGAAAAGAGAGAAAGACACAAGTCCCCCAGCTATTTGATCTGCCCAACGCCCAACAACTGAGCTGGCGTGGGCTTTATTGTTGTATTTTGCTTTGCTTTGCTTTGTTTTTCCTTGACTTAATGAGTTGTTCTGATGTTGTGGAGACAGCATTAGTAATAGCTCTGCCCTCTTGCCTCTCAGGGGGAGGCAAGAACAATCTATGTGCAATCTATGAATTTCCACTTTGGTAACTAAAGGAATTCTTTTTGTAACCGCTAAGTCTTTTTGTGACCACCAGTATAATGATGACCAGCGGGCTGGAAGAGATGAGGTCATGTTTTATGGAAACATCCTGAATACATGCTGCCTTGAATTAACCATGACCATCCCCACCCCTCCCACACACCCCCACCCTCACCCTTGTTGAGCCAAGGATTCCACAAAGTTAGCGTGTAGAAAGCCCTGCCAAAGCAAACGTGTATGTGGCTCACACATACTGTGGTCATGCAACTCCCCAGCTTGGCTGGCGTGAATGTGAGAGCAATGCTGATGAGAAGGAGGGGGCAACACGTCTGCTGCCGCCCTGCACTCACACTGAACCTTTGATGTCCCTGGCCCGGCACACCACACCGGAAATGCTCGGCATTCTTGAGATTTTCTCCTAACCAGATTTGGAGTCCCCCAAGTGTTGCAGTGGGAAACAAGACACAAAACAACTCCCCTCCTATGGACTGTTCGTGTTTAGGGATGTGGGGCTCTCGAAAACAAGTGGAGTTGTGCAGGTTGAATGGGAAGCTCTTTGGCCAGGCCCCAGAGTTCTCAAGTACAGTCTTCCCAACGAAAGCCACATCTTCCACAAATACATGTCCTGCCCACTCCCAGATACTGACGCACATGGAAAAGAGAATCCAGAACCACAGAAAGCGTGAAACGCGCTCCCACGCGCCTAGGAGGGCACGGCTTATGTCACAGCTTAAGGTCAAAGAGCAGGGAGGCAGGAAGTGTCCACGCTGGCACATGCTAGGGCTCTACGGACGGTTCCACCCCCGTGAGGGGAATTCATGTGGAAGCCTGGGGCGGGGTGGGGATAGGTGGGTGAAACCCTGTTTGTCTGCAAGTCCATGGTGCACAAAATTCAACGGGTTTGCTTATTAGCCCTTGAGGCCAAGAAATAAGCCAATAGTTCGGATAGTCAACGAGGAGGCAGGGGTTAGAGCCTGCGCTGCGGCAGGTGAGGGGCACCAGAGTCACCCCTCCAGGGTGTTTCCAGAGCAGTGCACTGGCCCCTGATTAATCCATCTGCTACTTGGTCTTCACCACTAGGGGTTCTGCTGGTTTGCCACAAGCTTTCGTGTTGCTCTTTTCAGGCAATGGATTCCCCTAAGTCACGTTTCAGAGAAAAATACTTCAATATGTTTGCATTATGTCAGCAGAGGGCTGAGCGCTGGAGGGGTTAAAAGGAATTCAGCCAGTTATAAAACGTGGGTATGTCAACCAAGCAACCCGTCCACAGGCAAAGATTCAGAATTAAGAGAAAGTGAGAAAAAGGTTGGCCGAGTGAAGCCCCTCGGTGTGTCCACTGGAGGGTCCATCCCCCTCTGTCATCCAGACTGGCCAGCTAGTGTGGCTGCACCTTGGGGTCTCGCTTTAACTGAGAGACTCAATGGTGTATCCCAGACACGCCCAGAGACCTAGTTCTCCAAAGCAATTTATCTGAAAGGTGTCCAGGGTGTGGGTAAGCCATTATAAAAATATATATTCCTCACAGCGTGGACACTCTCTTACTGGGAATCCCAGTGTCTCGGTGGCTCTGCTGGGGGTGGACAAACAAAAAATCCGACTAGCATTCTCTGTTGGTCCCCAGGGTCGTAGAGCCTGATGATCGGGATAACAGTGCTCGTTGTGGTTTATCTGCACGAGCAAAGGCTCGGTCCCAGGAGAGCTGTCTCCGGTCCCCCGGTACTCTTCGCTGATTATGTGCTCCTAGTAATGAGAACTCATTTCCAGTTAAACACAATAGTAACAGTAACGGCATTATCTCTTATTGATTGGGCATTGGTTAAGCACCAAGTTAAGTGCTCTTGAGCATTATGCTGAGAGCTTCCCTGAATTATTTCATTTAATCCTTATCATAACCTTGTGAGCCAGGTATTTATTCTATCTGTTTTTCAAATGAAGAAACTGACGCTGAGAGAGGTTAAGTAATTTACCCAAGGTCACACAGCTGGCAAATGCTAAGAGCCAGGATTTGAATCCAGGGCTAACTACATGGCCAGCACTCTCACCCATTAAATTTTCAGGGACAGTAGTTCCCACCCATCCCTGACTGCGTGTTAGAATCACTAGGGGAGCATAAAAAATACCCATGCCAAGGTCCGTTTCTGAGGGATCATGATTGAACTGGCCTGGGATGTACTCGTGGGGATAGAAGGTGAAGAAGGCCTGTTCCAGAAGTAGGAGGGCAGGGACAAGATCAGAAAGTGAACATAATGCCTTTCAAAATTACATATAGCCTAGTGCTTTGGATCACAGGTTTTTTATATTGCCCACACCTTTATACCTTTAAGACACAGGACCATAAACGTGAACCTGTAAGTTAGAATAAGAACGATAGGTAAGAAGTCCATAGATTAACTTCCCATGCACTTTTTGATTCCAAAAGCGATTTTTCAGTTTAGATAAACCATAATGCTTTGATCAGTGCTACTGGCGCATAAGAAGTGTTAGCTGGGTATGGCTTTCTGCTTATGTGCATTCAAGGCACTTGTGGTTAGTTATGACTCTAATTAAGGCAGAACCTCTTACTTAAAGCAATAAATATTTAGCCTCAGCAACCAAAATATAAACAGAACCATGATTCATGAATCTGTGCTTCCTTGTTCTTCCCCGACTCCGGAAGGAAAGTGGCATTCCCTGATGCGCGGAGCCGGGGCAAGCCAAGGAGGACTCGCTTGGCCCACACGTAGGAATAGCAGTCTCTCCCAGCAAGGACACAGGCGCCGCGTGGCACTGACTCAGAGAGACAGCCTTCGCAGCTGCTCAGGAGAGCAGAGCCACCAGGAGAACCCCGGGGACTCTGATTTAGTAAGCCTAGGGTGGGGCTCTGATTCTAGGTGATTCTGAGGCCAGCGATCTGAGGGCCAGAGTGTGGGAAATGTCAGCAAGGGAAGCAGGAGGCGCCCCTGGCATCGGGCAGATGTCAGGCCTAGCTCCAGGGCCACCCCTCCTCGTTGCGTGGCCTTGGGCAGAATTCTTAACCTCCGTTGCACTTAATCCCCTCAGCCATGAAGCGGGGAAATGATGGTACTTATTTCATGCAGTTGTGGGAAAAGTTACATCAGAGAATGCGTATGAAGTTCGAAGCAAGGTCCTTTGGCTTAGTGCCTGCCATGGAAGTGCCAAACAAATGCCATCCAAAACAAAAACAAACACAAAAAATTACCTACAGCTAGAGAACAGCAGAAGTTGCAACCTGGCAGCTCACAGGCTGAGCTTAGCGCTCTGACATGTGGCTTGGCACGCATGGTGGTGGTGCTGCTGTTTTTAACTAATTTTGAATGTCATCAGACAGGACCCTGTCTCCAGTTTCCTGCACCCTGACACGGCCCACACTAATGAAAGGCACGTACATTCGTTTCTATCACCTGCCTGGCCCGCAAAGGCATTTGTATTTGTGACTCAGGTAGAAGAACACGCCTGTTCGGAGGAGTGCACGTTTTATAACCGTCTAAAGCAGCAGGCTTCATCTCTAAATACAAATACGTGCCCTTGCCAAGGATGTCCACAGCATGCTGGTTTTCTAGAAACAAAAGGCCATCAGGCCAATGACTCTGGCTGGCCCAGTGTGGCCTTAAGTGTGATGAAGGGGACATTTCAAGCCTGGTGGCCAAAGGCCCGGAAGGACACACAATTGCACCTCCATTGGGTCCCTACCAGCTGGCCCTTTCCCCAACCAGGACCAACAGCCAACATCCCTTGCTCCCTCCCCCCCTCCCCACCTCTGACCTTTCTGTACCCCTTCCCCTACCCCACACTGGACAGAAGGCCCAGGATGCAGAGCCACTTCCCAGTGGGAAAGGTTATGCAACAACCTGATAGCATCAAATTACAAACAACCAAGGTCTCCTAGAAGCTGAGGGTGCCAAGTTCAACAGAATGTTTCCTCATCACCAAAGGGGAGGAAGAAACAGTTCTGCTCTTCAAATAAAAAAAAGTTTCCAGACAGAAGAGCAGTCTGTTACGGGACAAACAAGGTGTTGGTTCTGTCCTGGGTAGGAAATAGGTCTGGAGCGGGAAAGAGAGGGACAGCTGCGCTGAGCCAGGCCTGAGCTGGGACCGTGGGCTTGGAGTCAGCAGTGGGCAGGCGCCTCGTGTCCTCTTTGTTTGGCAGGACCACTATGGGTTGCCCCCTACCCCTCAGGTCGGTTTCTCCTCACCCCTGCAGGGCGCAAGCCAAGCCCTGGGGAGCTCCCTCACTCCAGCACGGAGGGAAAAGATGACTCCAGGAGACGCTGCCTCATCCCATCAGCTGAGCAAGGCAGCATGGCCAGGAAAGGAAAGGGAAGACAAGGAGGGGGGCCTGGGAGCCTGCGAACAGGACAAGGCAGCGTGTGGCCTGACGTAGCGGGCTGGCTGCAGGGAGGAAGAAGCAGGGCTCTGGGTACTGTTTGTCCTACTTTGCTGCAAAAACATCGACTGTCTTCTCTCTTTCATCTGCTCTAAAGATTGGCCTCCTTACAGCAGGAAGTACAGGCATCCCACTGACAAGGAACCTGAGTGAGGAGGAGCAGGTGGTCTAGAAGGACCCCCAGCTAACCTGACCTGAGCCCCTGGCTAAATGCCCTTCCACGCAGGGCTCTGCCTGGCTTCCCAGGCAGAGAGGAGAAAGAAGGCTGTGGAAGAGTTGAGAGAAAGCTGGTCTAGAGAATAAAGAAGATGAAGTATTTACTACCCGGCAAAGTTTGTCTTCAGGATCTCCTGAGAAAAGAAGAAACTGAATCCAACCCCGGCCCCACCACAAATTCAGGTGCTGTGCCTGCTGCTCAGACACCGCATAAAGCCGCAACATTTGTGAAAGCTCTTGCCCCAAAAGACTGTTCTCCTGAGATAACTGAAATCCAGCTTCTGAGCCAAGTTTCCTAAGACAAAGGCCCAGAACCACTCAAGTCATCCATATATCATTGACATTGCCTGTATACTTCAGTAGGAAAATCTCTTTTAGGGCATTCTTCCCTTTGGGGTGTACCCCCACTTTGTTTCAGCTGGGAGTGAGGAAATCGAGTCTTGTGGGAGTTAGCGTAGGCCAAGCACAAGGCTAAGTGCCTCTCAGGCAATAGTCCGGTGGATCCTCCCAGTCACCCAGTGGGATGAGTCTATCACCCACATCACGGAGGAGGAAACGTGCAGAAAGGGAACAGCGGGCCACAGGCACCGGTTCCCAAGCTGAGTGGACAGTCAAGCCCAACCTGGGCCTTCAAAGTCATTCATTCTTTCCACCTGTGCAGTCTGCTTCCCATGGACTTAGAAAGATCCAGAATGGCACAGGGGCTAAAGACATTTTCCTTGATTACCATAGGGTCCAGAGAAGCAGGGCAGATTTTCCAGACGGCTGAGCAGTCAGTCATATAGAACAGAGTGTGAATAAACAACAATCACATGGGTGTGGAATGAGCCAGCGAGGTCAAATAATGTGACCTCCTTGATCGATGCCTTGGAAAAGCTCCCCACCTTGCTCGGCCACAGTTTCCACACTTGGCTAATGGGGTGGCTGGAATAAAGATCACTGAGGTCTCCTCCAAAGCAGGCGTTCTTCGAGTGTGGGGATATTCCTGGAGACTGTCACTTGCTTCTCTCATTTATCATCTTGGGCTCAGTGGAAGCCAAGTCTGTCCTTGCTGCTCTCCCTCACTGACATGAGAGGGGTCTTTAAAAATTGAGCAATGTGCCAGGACGTGTGGGAAACAGAGAGCAAGTGTTTAATGTGTATGGGGTTCTGGGGATGATGAAAATGATAGGGTCTCAGCAGAGGCGACAGTTGCACAACACTGTGAGCATGCTAAATGCCAGCGGATTGTACAGGTTAGAATGATTAATTTTACGTTACATGAATTTCACCTCCATTTTCAAAATTGAATAATGTCACTCTCACTCTTAAAATCCTTGCACGATTCCGCTTCTTGCATGTTTAGAATGATGGTCAAAAGTGGTTGCCTGAAAGAAAAAACCTTCGAACACTGGCCCCGGCCTTGTCTCTCTACTCCTGTGAGCTCGAGACACAGACAGCTGAGCAGCTCCTACTGTCTGGTCTTCTCACCCCTGCCCAGGCAGCCCAAAACCCCCTCCCTTGAAAATCCCTGGCTGTCTCCTACTCATTCTTCAAAACTAGCCACTCAGCGAAGCCTTCTTGTTCCCTGTCCCAGCGGGTGAGAGGCCCTTGTGCTCCCTGCTATCACGGAGTTGTTACCCTGTAGCATAATGGCCTGCTTCTATGTTCCCTCCCAGTACTGTCCAACAGAACTTTCTGCCATGCTGCAAATGTTTTGTATTTGCACACTATCCAATATGGTAGCCACCAGCCACATGTGGCTTCGGAGCTCCTGAAGCGAGGCTAAGGTGACTGAGGAACTGGATTTTAATTTAATCTGAACTCCAACAGTCATGTGTGGCTACTGCCTGGCGAGTGGGACAGTGCAGCTCTAGATTGGTGGTTCTCAAATTCTAGCCCACATCGAAATCATCGGAAGGACGTGTTAAGACACAGATTTCTGGGCCCCAACCCCAGAGTTTCTGATTCAGTAGGTCTGGGCTGAGGCCCTAGAATTTCCATGGCGAACAGGTTCTCAGATGGTGCTAATGCTGCTGGGCCTGAGACCGCACCTTGGTAACTTCCGGTTCATATCCGAAAGGTCAAGACGTGGATGATGCTAGAATCAATAGGGTCGAGATGTGGATATTCTAGATTGGTGGTTCTCCCAAGTGTGGTCCCTGGACAAGATGCATCAGGGTCACCTAGGAGCTTGCTGGACATGCAATATCTCCATCACCATCCCAGATCCGCTGAGTCATATCTATATCTTAGCAGGATCCCTGGGGGACTGTCTGCACATTGAAGTCTAAGAAACACTGCTCTAGATTGTCATTCCTTAAAGCCAGGGGCTTTGTTGATCTTTGTGTCCCCACCTCTCAGTTCCTGGGCCATAACAGGTGCTCAAGAAATGGAGGGAAAAGAAGAGCTGTAGGTTGCCCAACTAATAAATGTGTTTCTCCCGGGGCGAGGTCCTTCCCTCAAAGAATGGGTCCCAGTCCAAATCCTTAAACTCGCTTCAGTATTTCAAAACTGCCTCGTATGACAGGGAAGAGACAAGATGAGGCAGGTCCTCAGATAAGAGATCAGAGATCAACGCTGGGGGAACAGAGGGCTCCCCACAGAGGAGCCACCTGCTGACAGGTCCGTTTCCCCTCATCCTTGGTTTCCCTGCCTTCTGGATTTCTACCGTCAGGAGTTCTGTCTGACTCCAGACTCTTCCAGGCTTTCCCACTGAGCTGAAGATGGCAGCCTGGCCTGAGGGCGTCCCAAGTACTGAGACAAGAAACTGTCATCAACCAATGTAAATAACCACTCCCAGCTCAACACTGTCTCTGAACTTTCGGCATTTCTGGGCCACACCGGAAGAGCTGTCTTGGGCCACACATTAAATACACTGTGACACGTAATCACAAAAAAACTCATGACGTTTTAAGTAAATTTACGATTTTGTGTTGGGCCGCATTCATAGGGGCGCACGTGGCCCACGGCCGCAGGTTGGACACCCCTGCCGAGGCTGTTGCTGCAGGTATCAGACACGTTTCCGTGCACCCCCACTCCTGGCATCTTTTCCTGGTCCAGCCTCCAGCAACCAGAACTAAATTACAGCATTCTTGAACTGGAGAGAACCAAAGAGATCAATGGAGAGAGAGAAACACCGGCAACACCAACCTTGAAAGATAAAGTATATGCTCACTGGGCAGAGGAAGGGAGGTGGCACCCAGTTCCCTGACTCCTAACTCAGCTCCCTGGCACAAGACAGGACCACAGTCCTGGCAGCCACTCGTTTGTAAAGTTCTCCAGGGATCTGAGCCAAGGAATACCAGGTTAAAGACAAATGAAAAAGAATGATCAGCACGCCCATCTCGCCCCCAGCCACGAGGGACACAAAGATTCCAGTCCTGGGAAACTACAAATATTCTGCCAAACTAATATGAAAGGGACTTTGTGTCATTTGACCTGGACAGTGGGGGCCACAGCTCAGGATTGAGCTGAAGAGCAGGAAAACCTAGGCCCAGGGGGTAATCTTACTAAATCCACCTCCAAATCCCTTGGATACAAGCACCTTCTAAAAAAATCAATTTTTTCAGATATATATCAATAGTACCAGTTAATTGTGGGCAGGGGGAATCACACTTAAACCCTCCCCCTGCTACCCATAAGTAATGACTGCTAATCTTTTGTTACCTTTTGTTGCCTCTTTTAAGAATTTCTCCAGAATAACTCTGCTTATCTTTACATAATAAAACTGTCCTTTACATATTGTTTTGTAACCTGCTTTATTCACTGAAAGTATTGAATGTAAATGTTTCCAGGTCAATGATATGCAGCATTTTAGTGGTTCCTTAGGATTTCTTTAAACGGTTGTATCATAACTTCTTTAACACTCTTCTACTGCTGGACATGGGTTATATCCAATTAATTTTTTTTTAATCTACAGCAATAAGCATCATTTTGCATATACCATTTGCACTTGGCTGTTTACTTTTTAAGGACAAATTCTTAGAGGAGAAACCGAAGCATCAACAGGCATGTGCCTTTTTCAGGGTTTGGTCCATACCACCAAAGTGTCCCCAGTATGTTTGTTCTCTCAGAAAAGTCAGGGCCTCGTGAGGAAAATTTCCCAGAAGACACCGGCACTGAGCTGGGAGCCGAAGGATGTTTAAGGAAAGGCAGTATGGTGTAGCAGGAAGATCTTATAGCAAGCCTGGCCCCCTCCTCACAAACTGTGTGACCACGGGCAGATTACCTGGCCTCTCTGAACCTCTCTTTCTCCAGCTGTAAATGGAGATGAACTTACCTATCATGATTGTAAGGTTAAGAAACAATGGACACAGAAACCTTCAGTAGCTGTGCACTAAATATTTTCTGAACAAATGAAATGAATTAACAGTTGGATGAATGGAGGAATGACTTTAAAAATAAAGAAAGAAAGGAGGGAAGAGGATGAGGAAGGGCAGCAGGATGAAAGAAGAGGGAAAGCACAGCCGTTAGGAAGGCTGTGGACTAGCTGGTAGGGAGCGGGCCGGTCTCCTGAGGGAGCCCTCGGAGAAAAGGCGGGCTAAGGATGCCCCAGACTGAACTGAAACTCTCTCCAACCCAATTAGTTTCTTTTCTGGAACCTGGCAACTGGAGAGGACCTTGTCCCTGTTCCACCAGGATGCCCTAAGGCCTGGCCCTTCCAGAGACAGAATCCCATGTCCTACACACAGTGGGACCCACCAACCCCAGCGGACTCCTTACCTTGACGAACTTGCCACGACCCAGTGAAGGGACCCGTGCTGCCCGCCAGCTCACATTTCTGAGCCCACGGGCCATTGTCTCCTAAAAACCAAAAGAAACAACATGTAAAGGTCAGTAGGCTAGTGGATACTTCTGCTGATTCTCTCTCTCTCTCTCTCTCTCTCTCTCTCTCTCTCTCTCTCTCTCTCTGGCCCTACATCCTTGGGCACAGCAGAGGACTGGATAGAAGAGGGACATGTAAAATCAAATATGACCCCCACCCTTGAAGAGCTACCCTTCAGACGAAACTCTGTTGGGCTTTCAGAGAGGTGGGCTTTCCTTCCCCATCTTGAGGCTCCTGCCTTACAGACTTTGGCCTTTTATATACGTTTGGCACTCTCATTACCGCGGTCATCAGCCCAGCAACTACTTACTGAGCACCTATGATGAGCCCAGTGCTTCACATGTGTTATCTCATGATCTGCCAACATGCTTCGGACTACATTCCATTGTTAGCTTAATTTTGTAGATGAAGACAACAGAGGCTTAGAGCAGCATATAGATTCAAATCCAGGTGTCTATGTGACCCAAAGGCAAAGCTTTTACCCACCGCCCTCATGCAGACAGGGACATGAGACCCACAGTGCCTGTGTGGCCCCTCTAAATGGCTCACTAGTCCAGCTCCACTCAGCCAAAAGATGTGTGAGCTAGTGATCTGCTGACCAGTAACAACCGAGTCTCCGAGGACTACATAGGTTCACAATATTAGAGTCATTCATTAACAATTAAGAACAATATCCAGGTGGCCCTGATCAATTCTTAAGGGGCCACCAGGGTACCTGCTCTTCTGGTGCAAACCTTTCCAGGGACTCAGCCCTGGAGGCCCCAGTGGACAGGTGCTTAGCATTCAAGCCAGCAAACACTAGTGGGGCCCAAGTTCAGGGAAAGACCACTGCCCAGTTAAAGAGGATCACTCAACCAGACTTAGCTCTTCCGGGTGCATGGGCAGAGTTAGCCATTAGATCTCAGGGAGGCTGGCTGGGTTTTACTACTTTACCTGTAAACCAGAGGAATGTATTTTCTTTCACTGTGCAGTCAACTGTGTCTTTAATCTGGCCCACCAGGCTGTCCATCTCCCGGAGGCCTGCGGCATACGGCCTGCGGCCCTGTGGGTCTGCTGATAGCTGGGTTGCAGTTATGGGAACGTGCATGTGGGCCAGGCCCACATAAAGCAGGAAAGGTCTCCTGCTGGTGCTAGAAGGGAAGAGCCACAAGGTTACTCTCCAGAAGGCTCCCTGCCTTGTCCAGAGTCTCTGCTTTGCCTCAGAGAAAACACCCAGAACACCTTCTGCCCCATGTGCACAGGGAGTACATATCTATCTAGAACCTTCCTAGGATATGTGGAGATACTCTGGTTAGCCAATTGAAACCTGAAAGTAATTGTATAATAGTTACTATCCTCTAACATTTCCTGAGAGCTTATTAAATGGGACTCATGTTGTCTAAATTCATTCTCATACTCACCCCCAAGTTCCCATTTTCAGGTGAAGCGTCAGAGGCTTAGGAAGACTAAAGAACTTGCCCAAGGTTATGCATTAGGAAGTGACAGAGTCTGGGTTCCAATTTACACCTGGCTGAGAGCAAAGCCCTTGCTCGTAACTGCTGTATTCTAAAGTCCAGCGCAAACTTATTTTTAATTTTTATCTGCTTTTTGCAGCATCCAGGCCTCACGTCCATTCCCAGACTTGGGCCTTGTTAAGAAATGAAGGGATAACTCATGCTGACCACAGGGAAAGCCAAACAAAGCAGATCACTACCCAGAACATCTAGACCCGGTTTTGTTGAGAGACCCAGGTGCCCAACCACCCTACTCGAACCCTGAAGAGTCCTATGAAAGGCATGCCGGGAGCCAGGGTGACCTCTGCTTCCTGCCCGTCTCCCCCTCCCATTCCCAGGCAAGGAGCAGGATCAGGGCAGCTGCAGAACCGCAACCCTTCCCTTGCGGCTGCAGCAGGAACCCTCGTGCAGCTCCCTGCCACAGCCCACGCCCATGGAGTCGCCTTTCAGAGGTGAGGGTGAGGGTAGAGCTCAGCCAACTTCAGACCAAGTGCTCATAGAGCCTGGCTCTTTTTACCCCAGTTCACCTAGAAATTTGACTTTCAAGTTGGCCCCGGTGTTCTTAGCTTACCCTAATTTACATCACCCCACATCAAGTTCTCGAAGCTCCCCCACCATCAGCTCTGCATCAGTTCAAGCCCTGGAGAGTCTCCTGCATCTGATTCCCTCGGTGCCCTAACTGGAACTGTGCCTGCACCCAATTCTCTTGGACGGACATAAAACCCAGGACACACGTCCCAGACAGGGGCCTCTCCTTCCCCGTTTCAATCAGCAATTTCTCTGCAACATTTCTAGAGTTGTACTGTTCGATCCAGTAGTCACGCATCCTGTGTGGCTATTTAGATTTCTATGAAATGAAAATTAAATAAAATTAAGGTTTTGTGTCTCACTTGCTACAACACAGAAGACATCATGCCAACTGAAAATAAGCCAGTAACCGAAGGACAAATGTTGCATGATTCCACTTACAGAGACAGAAACTTCATAAAGACAGAAAGTAGAAAGGTGGGTGGCCAGGGACTGGAGGGAAGGGAAAATGGGAAGTTGGTGTTTACTAAGGACGGAGTTTCAGTTTGGGAAGATGAAAAAGTTCTGGGGATAGATGGTGGTGATGGGTGTCGAACAAGGTGACTGTTTTTAAAGCCACAGAATGGTACATTTAAAAGGTGAATTTTTGTATGTATTTTACCACTATTTATATACAAATTCAGTGTCTCAGTTGCCCTACCCACGCTTCAGATGCTCAGTAGCCACAGGTGGCTACCAGCTACCATCCTGGACAGCACAGATAGAGACCATTTTCATCCTTGCAGAGTTCTACTGGATAGTACTGATTTAAAGTGTCTGCTGCCTGCTCTCCCAGGGATGATCATGTATGGTTCTGTAGGCTGTATCCGGCATGAGAACATCCTGCTGTGAGTGAAGGGGAGCTAAGCTCTAGCGCACCATCCACTGGCCCAGCAAGCACTCAGACACAGGTCAGCACCCACTCAGAGGGGGCGCCCTTTTCTAATTTGCAGGTAGATGCCATATTGCAGTGGTGTGCTGGATACAAGGGGCTCAGGTTTCAGGAATTCTGCAAGCCAGTTTTAAACACGACAGACATTCAAAACCAAATGTCTTTGCCTCAAAGAAAACACCCAGAGCACCTTCTGCCCCATATGCACAGGGAATAAATATCTGTCTAGAATCTTCCTAGGATATATGGAGATAATCTGGTTAGCCGATTAAAACCTGATAATCTAGTTAGCCAATTAAATCAGCTTGGCATTCAATAAATTATATCATAAGCAAACCTAATAAATTCTCATGATTTATCATGTCCTAATTATTCTACTACATTTTAGTATTCTCTATGCTGAGGTTATTTTACGTCTACTGTATCTGTGTGATGGAAATACTATATCATGGTGTGCTATACATCTCTTCCCAACTCCATATTCAGCGACTGCCATTGGTAGCCTGAGATCAGCCAGGGTGAGAGTGTTTATAAGAGAGAAGTGGACAAATGCTACAAATTAGGGCATTTTTCTCCCAGTGCCAAGTGTTAAACAAGTACTCGGGGGTGGGCAGGGGGGCCCGTCGCCCACTCTTTATGTCAGCCCTGACTGTCACCCACCAAACTCCCCCCCATTATCACCGCCCTGTTCGCACCCGGGGCCAGAGACTGAAAGGGGCGTGCAATCATCAGGCAGTAGTGTGCGCTGATGAAAAGAGCAGGCTTTGGAGACCTGCATCCAAATTTCAAGAATTTTTATTTCAAGGCTCTCCGACCCCGGGTGTAATGATCACCTTAACCTCTGCAGTAGCCTTTTGACCATACACTACGATTTCGAATATCCGCAGCTACTCCTCCTACCTGTGCCCAATACCTTCGTCCTTGTCAAACCCTTACCCCTAATTAGCTTCAATGTCCAGTCCAGATCCTGTAAGGAGCAAAGCCTGGCTAGAGCCCACATCATCTGCTTTCTCCCTTTTTGTCAATTCAGAGCTTTGCCTGCTGCTTTACAAAACCCAAATCAAGGATTAGCTTTCAGTGTCAGTGCTAGATGAAGGACCTGAATTCAAGTAGAGATCCAAGTAAAACTTTCAAAGAAGTGCTAGGGCTGGCCCCTTGCTGAGGAGAGTAGGACCCCACACTCTAGGGACCCTGGTAGCTTTGACACACAGATCTGGGTGGGGGCAGGGGTCACAAAGGGAGACGAGGGGTGGGGGTGGGGACACGGAAGTGGAAGGAGCGCAGGCCTAGGGGCCTTTTCTGCTGACGTTCTGAAATTTGCGAATGAACTGGCAAGTCAAATCCCAAAGAAATCAGCATGCCTGAGGATTATTTTCTGTTACATTAAAAGCCAACAGGATTCATGTGACTTTTCACTTAATAACTAATGAATAAATTAGCAAGCCCTTCATCTTTTTCACATGACAAGAAGAGTGTTCGTTGATTTGTTTGTCTTTTAACTGATTAATGAACTGGTGAATGAACAGTATCACACTCTCTTCGGAGCACGTGTTAAACCATCCCTTGTGGCCGGCCAGGGGCCACCCCTCCCTCTATGAAAGCTGTGCTGTGTGAGGCTCTGTGAAAGCAGGAGAGGTCAGTCCCCACCAGCCACGAAGCATCCACCTGTATGAAACAATCTCAGAGCTCCAGGCTGCAGAGAAATGCTCAACCTGCCAGATGGAAGAAGGGTCTTTCCCCTTTTCCTATCGGCCATCTGAACAAAAGCCAGCATTTCTCAGAAAGCCCTGAAAAACTGGTGAGAGTCAACCTCTGAAGCCCCAGTCTGGAGATTTAGGCCTGAAGAAGGTTCTATTATCAAGAAAACAAAAGTGGATCTACTACACTGCTGCCGCTACCCTCCCTGCTGCACTTCTCTCTAGAAAAGCTCAGTGTGGTCGAGTGAGGGGCCAGGGGGACTCCGGCACTTTGAAGGAGCTGGAGTGGTCAGTTACCCATGGGTGAAGTCCATTTTTAATTCTGCACAAGTACAGAGGCATGTAGCACATTGTTGTCTTGCCCACTTAGCCTATGGTTGTTTGAAATACTGGAGGAGCTACTGGGAACTGCCCTGGTGGTGGGGGGCGGGGGTTTGCAATCTAGGGAGAAAGATGAGAGGAACACACACAGAGTCATCAGAGGATAGCACGAGAGCAGCTGTGACGGGTCCGGACAAGAGGAGGGTGATTGTGTGTGCGCGCACACGGGTGCGCGCTTGCACCCCTTTGGCCTCTGCGCGTGCGCCCAAGGCGAGTGTGCACTTTTGGGAATTGTCCTTGGTTTCACAATATCCATCCACTCTCTGCCCTGGCCTGACAGAGGCTGCAAAGCAGCAGCCCTCACACATATACAGCTTGTTAGAGACACACTGTGGTATGGTTCTGCTTTTCGCTTTTTGTTGTTGTTAATTAGTTGTTTCTAACATTCAAAAATCAGGAGATTTTACCCAAGGGCCAAGGCGTCCTGTCTCTCTTGTGAAATGGAAAGCTCCGACAACCCCATTCTCAGAGAAGCAACAGACAGCTGGAGCGAGGTAGTGACTGTCCCCTTAGATGGGGAATGTGCTTTCAAGTTCATGGCGGGCCCCACCATTCCCCTAATGTCTTGCAGTCAGCCTGCTTCCCTCTTGTGGGCTACCTATCTACCTGGGCTCTGGAGATGCCGAAATCTGCAAGTCCTGTGGGTTACACTGAATAGTGGCCCCCAAAGATATCCAAGGTCTAATAGTACAAGAGACTTTGCAGAAGCAATTAAGTTGAAGATCTTGAGATAGGGAGATTATCCTGGTAGACCCTAAACTTAATCACAGGTATCTGTGTAAAAGAGAGATAGATCCCTGTCAGTGTGGCTCAGTTGGTTGGGTGTCATTCTACAAACTGAAAGAAGGTCCCTGGTTCAATTCCCAGTCAGGGCACATGCCTGGGTTGTGGGTTCAGGTTTGTGAGGGGTACCTGGTCAGGTGCATGTGAGGGGAAACCACTCTATGTTTCTCTCCCTCTCTTTCTCCCTCCCTTCCCCTCTTAAAAAATAAATAAATAAAATCTTTTTAAAAAGAGAGAGAGTGGTAGAGGGATAGTTGACTACAGAGAAGGAGAAGGCACAGGAAGAACATCAGTAGAGATTAGAGTGATGTGGCCACCAGCCAAGGAAGCCAGTGGCCATCAGCAGCTGCCAGAGGCAAGACACAATTTTGCCTTGGAGCCTCCAGAAGGAAACAGCCCTGCAGGCACCTTAATTTTAGCCCCCTAAGACTTGTTTTGGACACCTACTCTCCAGATCTATAGGAGAACAGACTGCTGTTATTTTAGGGTTAAGTTGGTGGTACGTTTGTTATAGAAGCAATAAGGAAGGACTATACCCTGCTAACAAACTCATCAAATGCTTTGAGTGCCTAAAATATACTGCAGAGACACTGCCTTGGTAAGAGAGGACAAGCGATATTGACAGCAGAGCATGACCTCAGCAGGAACACAGGGAAGCCCAGGAACTTCAAACCCAGGCCTGGGGCCTCCAGGAGGACTGCTTTCCAGTTTTGTTCACAGGAGACAAGCGTGCATTCGTCTCCACTGGGCAATGGGAGTGGGCCCAGGCTTTGTGGGAGCTGAGTGAGGCCAGGGCCTGGGGGGTAGTAGCAGGGTGGAGGCACTTGGGGCCATAGGACTCCTTACCTTGCATGTTGGATGAACTGGGTAGCTTTCTCAGCATACTTCCGTGTGAGGCTGCTCAGGTTCACAGGCTGCTCCACAATGTTCAGGTTTTCATACAGAGGAAGGGCCACGTCAGTGTAACAGTCCTTGTCAGGGCTCCTGTGTGGAAACCACAGACGGTAGAGTATTCATTTCCATGACTTAAGTAGTTATAAAGTAGAACAAAATGCTTTAATGTAGCGATGCAGATAAATATAAAACATTTAATAGCCTGGAGCCAAATGATTTTTCCAGTCGACCACTTCCTCCGAGTGTAAAGCCAATATAATACCTTCTTCCATTCTCTCTGAATAGATGCATGTGCTCCTTGGACAAGCCCGGGCATTCAATACAGCTCACAAAGACTTTTTTGAGCTAGAAACACTATCATTCCCATTTTGCTGGGAGAGAAACTGAGGTCTAAACAGACTAAATTACTCAAGCAGAGCCCCATAGCCATTCAGTAGCCCCATCCTGGATTTTTCCACTGTCCCCCCTAAACGACAACTTGTCCATGGGGTGCAATACTTGTTGTTGACTTATCTTCCCAAGTCACTAACTTCATGTGGCACAACATCTGACAATGCAACAGATGGCTGGGAACAATTTTAAAATTTCAAATCATGTTTAGAGAATTTGGAAAAACCTTAACAATTGGGAAAAATGGAGGTCAAACCAGTAATACTCTCCCCAGAAAAAAATAAACTCAGCCCTTGGTCATTCGGATCAGAATGAATCTGACACATGAATGCTTCATCACTGTGGCCAAGGAACCACCTGGCCATGACCTTGAGCAAGTTACCTAAGCTCTCGGAGCCTGAATTCCCTTATCTGAAGCATGGCGCTGCCTGGTTGCCTGTGCCCTCTTACAAGGGTATTAGGAGGACTAAATGAGATAACAAATGGTTAGTGCTTTGCACACTGATTACCACCCTAGAAACTCAATAAAAACTCAAGCCCCCTGTCCTGTTTGCCACAGAGAACCAGGAGAGAAGCTGACAACAATGGGGGCAGGCAGTAACAGGAGGACTCTCCAAGAGAGACATGGTCCACGTGGTACAGCGGAGGGCTTGAGAAAAAAATGATCACATCTATATGCAAACACACCCATTATGAAAGCTTAGGAGACAGGTCAGTCTGGGGTAGCTCATCTCCAAGGACCACAATTTTTTAAAAAAGAAAGAAGTTATCAACGTACTGAGCATCACAATGCTAATCTCAACATCTGTGTTGAATTTTTTAGCTTTTTATGACCTCGCTGCAACTCCACCATCATTTACACTCTCGGCCCCAGCCCGCCCCAGGTCAAGTCACCTTCCAACACCATTTATCCCCGCTTTACTGTCTTCTACCTCTTCCGCTCCTATCTGATTTAACATGGATTTATAAGGGACTGGCTGGCATATGTCATACCTCAGCATGGCCACCTGTGACCCAGCTAGGGAGGGAGGTGAGATGTTCTCAGCCTCGCTTCTCACATTGCAGTGTACACAGGAATCACCTGGCATCTTACGAAAATGCAGACCTCAGGGTGGGGTCTGAACTTCTGCATTTCTAGCAGGTGCCCAGGTGACACCCATGCTGCTGGTCCAGCGACCACACTTTGAGGAGTAAGGGTCAAGAAGAGGACACAGGCTCTGGACTCAGAGACGCCCAGACTAAGTCTCTGTCCCTGCCTCTTACAGCTCCAGGGTGACCTGGGCAACAAGGTTCACTTCCTTACCTGCAAAACCAAGATAAATCCCCGCCTCACTCAATGGATTGCAGGTAAGTATACAGAGTGTCTAGGATGCAACAATTTCTCAATAAACAGCCATTATTATATTAACTTTTGTGTTATTAATGAGCCAATTGAGATTGCTTTCACCTGCAGCTGAAACACCCGCAACCTTATAAATAACCCCAGTGCACATCCTGAATAAGCGGAGCACATGGTTCCTGCTGCTTTATTACCTGAATAAGGTTAATTACCTTTTTCTGGTAATTAATGTATTACATGCTTATTACTGAATATTGGAAAACATAATGAGAAAGAAAAAAAATGAAAACCCCTTAATCCCACAACCAGGGTGAATGACCCATTGTTACCACTTTGGCATATTTCCTGTGAGTCTCTCTTGACAGGGCTATAAAGGCATAAATGCAGACATAGTTAAGATCACACTGTTGATGATCTGTTTCCTTCTTTTTTTTTACTTCCTAGGATATCGTGAGCATTTCCCCATGTCACTGAGTATGTTTTTAAAACTCCTTGTTTCATGCCTGCGTAGCATTCCAGCAGCAGAATGCAGGCTTATTAGTAGGGGTGGGGAGCGGGATGAAGCTTGTAAGGAGGCCCGTGCACTTTGTCCGTCCCTCCTCGCGTCCGGTGTCTGGCCCAGGTGAGTGGCCCAGGAGCAAAGCCAGCAGGCAGAGGAGGAGGGAGGCCCCGCTTGTGAGACCATGGCTGCACCAGGCTCTACCTAGCAAAGCTAAACAGTCCAAAGAACCTGGCAAATTCTCCTAAGGAAACGTTGTCGATCACACCTTTGCTAAGAAGTTTTCTTTTACTCTTTTTGCTGTCTTAACTGTTCCCGGTCAGCCTCTCTCATTTACTCCTAATGGACCACACCCTCAGGACCTCTCCTTGCTCTGGATCCCGTAGCCAATTACCTCGATGGCCCGTCACCCCGTGGGCACACTGGACAAGGAGGATGGTTGTAGCCCGGGGTGTCTGTGCAGCCCATATCATGGCTATACGGGATTCCGAAGTAGTAATCAAAACCTGCAAGAGAAGCCACTGGTTAGCACCCCCACTTGGCTTCCGTTCCGTAAGCCTGCATTCTTACACCCAGGACAAAAATTTAATTTTCCACGATTTAATACTGCAGTGCTGTGGAGTATGTAATTAAAAGAGGATTTGATGAATATCCTTTTGTAGTATGCAAAGAAAATATTTTGTTGGGTTCTGGCTAGAAAACCAGATTTGCAAAACATCTTGTGACTAGTAAGCCCAGAGTGGGAGGAAGTGAAGAGGATTATTGAACACCAACCATCCCCAGTGCAATTACTGACACATTCAGGAGATATTTGGTGAAAATCTACTACATGCTTGACACTTTATGTGATAAAAGAATAAATTCTGCCCTCAAAAGACTTCTCATCTGAAGAGAAAATAAGATATACACATTAAGCTGTGCGAGATGGGTGATCAGTAAGTCTACAAGAGTGATCAGAGGAAGAAGTTAGCTCCAGTTGCTGGGAGGAGGAAGGGGCTGGGCAGGGGCTGGGGCAGAAATCTCCGAGTGCCTCTGGAAAGAGAGAGTATTTCAACTAGAACTCAGAAGGCTGGCAGGGTTGGGCTCGGGGTATTGGGGTTGGGTGGGGGTGGGGGATGTGAGAATTAAATTGAGACCTGAATACCCTGTGTTGATTTTTTTTCTGAGATCCTCCCTCATCCTGTCTCTTCCCCAACCCAAGCTTTAGTGAGAAGTTTCCCACAGCACTTCCCTACTCCTCCCCCAGGTCCCACGGGGGGGGGGGGGGGGCGGGGGCGGGGGCGGTCCCTGCTCTGGTGAACCCATATGATAGTTTTTACTTCTTACCCAACTAGATGTGTGTGGATCTCCCAGATGCCAAATGTTCCCTACGACGGGAGAGCCAGATCAGGGAGAACACTGGGGCTCACAGTGGGGAACCGAGGAGAGGGGACAGGAAAGGTGCCAGGGGAGAGGGATGTGAGATCGAGGCGGGCCCAGGCGCCCCAAATGCACCCAAGTGATGCTATGAATGAAGATATCCTAACTTAGGAGAGATGTCCACAGGAGCAGGGCGGCTTAAACCTTACTGCAGTCCTTTTACATGGAGGCTTTATTTCCCATTTCCCAGGTAACAAATCCCCCAAAGAATTCTTACCACGGAAGTTGGGGTGATAAGAGCTATGATGCCCAAGATGCCATTTGCCTGTAGGAAAACAAGAGAGAGACTTTCAGAGGAATCCCCATGGGGCCCCCAGCCCCTCTGGGGAGTTGATCACTCAGTTCTCCATCAGCATTGCCCTTTCCTGAGGACAAGTAAAGAGAGGCTGTAAACACAGTGTGAAAGCCAAGCCTTGCTCTGTGGGACTCAGAGGGAGTCCACAGGGAGACAGAAAGCAAGCAAGGATGACTCAGCAGCTACATAGGAGAGTGTACAGTGAAAAGGGAAGACAAGCCACTGCTGAGAACCCAGAGAAGCCAGCAGGCTGAGCTTCTTCCCCTCCAAGAGCTTTCAGTGCCTACAGCAACCCCACATAGCCCACTGCACGCTCCACTCTGCCCTCCTGGGCTGGGGCCTTGCAAAAGGTACAGGTGCATGCCCCACCTAGTCTCAGAGACACCCAGTTCCTGCCTAGTTTCATCATCTTCTTCTCTGGCCAAAGTCAGCAGCCTGCAGACAATGAACAAGAAACTGCCTCCACGCTGCAATGCAAGTGCAGGGACACCCATCAGACCACAAATGAGGACACTCACACTGCTGCGCCTCACTCTGTAAAGGCCTAGGGTCCAGGGGAAATAACTGGTGATGTACGCCAAGAGCTCTGATAATGTGGAACGCGCTGACCTGACGATTCTGCCCTGAGTGAAGACCCCAGGGTAATCACCCACATGGCAAAGGGACAAAGAAATGAATATGGTACCAAGATCTAAACAGTGGGACTGTCTCACTGCAGGCCTGGTTGTCAGCACACCCTCCCTTGCCACTTCATGCACGGTGGCAGGAGGCAGGAATCCCACTGGACCAAGCTCTTGCAGAGTCGGAACAGCAAGCACGGGCAGCCTGAGGATTCTGTCAGGACGGCTGGGTTGCCATCTCCCCTGGAGGGATGACCAGCCATGAGGCAAAGCATGAGAACGAGCTGGTCCGGACCCACCCGTCTCCATCTTCCGGCTCCAGCCAGGCAACACTGAACACCACCTGTCTAAAACTCAGTTTTCTCACCTAGACAATGGGGAAAATCATCATCTCAGAAGGCACGACCATTATCGGGGTGCACATAAACACTCAGCCTTGCACAAAACAAATACTGAGTAAGAGGTGCTTACTTAGAGAGAAAAGAAAGCTGCTGGACACTCGGGCGGACGCCGCTGTTGGCCGGCCCGCACCCGTGTGTGCACTTCTGTCACTCATGGAGCCGTGGTTCTGTTCAGGGGCCGGGGACCTGTGCCTGAGGCCAAATCAATCGTTACTCTCCTGACCCCGTTTCCCAGCCTTCCTTGCAACAAAGGGTGGCCATGTGACCCAGCTCCCCTCAATAAGACTTAAGTGCACTTCTGGGACTGAGAAAAGATTTGCTTTCCTGATAAAAGTGAACAAATGGGACTTGCTCTGCCTCCCCTTTTTCCTTCCTTGAAGCCAAATTATAGTGAATGGTACCGAAGCGGCTCTATTATAACCCTGAAGCAACAGACATGAGGACAAAGGCCAACACAGTGAGGACAAAAGCCAACACAATAAGGACAGCAGAGCAGGTTTCTTTCAGTAGCTGAGCCAATGAAAGCAATCATTTACCTCTAAGTTTATTAGAATGAGAGGGAAACAGCTCAGGTATGGTTTAGCCCACTGTTGAGTCTTTGCCATTACTTTTAGCAGAATGTATTCCTAACTTATACAGCTAGAAATCAACAAAAATGCAGACACGAGCAGACGAGACACCAGCATGTCAGGGCTACACACACACGAAGCAGCCGGCCCAGGAAATGCAGTGGGAGATGGGGGTCCAGGCTGCGGGGACCCCCAGTGTTACCTATCATCCCAGTGACATAGCCAGCCTGCTGCAACACCTCGGCCAAGGTGGTCTCGTTGAGCGGAAGGCCCCCCACAGAGGTGACTGCAAAATTGTGTGTGACTCCGTTGCGAAGGCCCAGTCGACCAGTGAGCAGGGAAGCCCGGGAGGGTGAGCAGGTGGAGGCGGCTGCGTGGAAATCCACGAACCTGCACGGAAAGGAAAGTAATTGAGATCTATCCAACAACTGGAAGACAAACCAAGAGAAAATTCCATTGCCACTCAGTTCTGGGGATTCCAGGGCCAGGAGAAAGCTCAACCAATGTCCAGTAGCAGAACAGGTAAGGAAAATGAAGTCCACAGAGGTAACATGGCTGATCCATGGTCACACAGATAATTCCCATGGATGTAATCCAACATATTTAATTGGTCCTCTTTATCCAAAGATTCCATATTCCAAACTATTTGTAACCCCAAAATCAATACCCAGTGACTCTGAAGTGGTTATACAGAGACATATGTAGACTTTTGAAAAATCTGAGTCACCCAACACATGTTCCCAGCTGAGGTCGGCTCTCATACTGTAAGCAAGTGTCCTCCTTTCCACCGTCTGTTTAGTACTGTGGATTTTTGCATTTTTGTTCTTTGAGTTGCTGATTTCTCTCTTTAAAATGGCTCTCAAGCATAGTGCCAAAGCTCTGGCCAGTGTTCCTTATGGGGGAAAAAAAAAAATATGTGTGTTATATAAGCTTAACTCAGGAATGTGTTAGAGTGCTGTTGGCTGTGAGTTCAATGTTAATGAATCAAAAATATGTATTAAATAAGGTGCCTTTAAAAAGAAACATAAAACAAGGTTCTATACTGATTAGTTGATGAAAACGTGGCCTGAGGCTCACAGGAACCTAACCCTGTATTTCCCCTAGAAGCAGTGGCTCAATAGTCCCTAATTCAATGTTCACAGTGACTTTATAGTATATAACTACTGCCAATAACAAGAACTGGCTGTATCTACTATGCATTACCTATACCCAGCCCTTTTTCAGACACTATGGAGAAATATAAAAAGTCTAGCCATTTTCCTACCCTCAAGGAACATGATTAAACCTCATGTTGCTAACAATGGGGCAACTTGACCTTGTGCACCTCCTGCTGGGATGCAATATGAAATTCATAACATCAAAGATTCTTGCCAGAAATTTTAACCTGAATATAATCAGACCTCTAGACCTAATTTCCAGGTTACAGAATATAGCTAAGAGAGGAACAAACTGACACCATGAGGAAATAATTTCACAAACCAGTCTCTAGACATTCTACAGGACAACTGGTTCATCTCTTTAAAAAAGTCAACATCTGAGGGAAATTTGGATAGAAGCAGAGATACTGTACATTAAAAGAGACTAAAGAGATGTAACCAGATGTCATACATGGTCCTTGATTGGATCCCACTTCAAACAAGCTAATATAACATATTTGGGGGTTAATTAGAAAAATGTAATATTGACTGAACATAAGATGCTGTTAAGGAATTATTGTTCATTTTCTTGATTAGTGCCATGTGGAAAACTGTTTTTATTCTTTTTTCCAATTTTATTAAGATATAATCGACATATAACATGGTACTTGTTTAAGGTACACAACGTAATGATTTGATACGTGTATATATTGTGAAATGATCACCACAAGTTTAGTTAACTTTCAGCACCTGACATATAAAATTTTTTCTTGTGTTGAGGACTTTTAAGATCTAATTTATTAGCAACTTTTAAGTACATAATACAGTGTTGTTAACTACAGTCGCCATGCCGTACATTACATCTTCGCTCTTGCTCACCCCTCATGTCAAACTGTTCACCAAGTTCTATTGATTCTGCCTCTTACATGGCTCCCAGATCTGTCTCCTCTCTGCCACCCACTGTCACTGCCTCAAAAGAGGTCCTTAGAAGTTAGAGTCAAAATTACAAGAGGTTGGTCTTCCTGCCACCCCAACCCCATCCCCCACATTAATGCAAAGGTCTTTCTACAAAGCAAATCTGACCACACACTTTCTTATTGAAAAATGTGTTCTCTATCTACCTGCTTCCTCAGGCTCATCTGCTTCTCCACTCTCCCATACACTGTGCTCCCAACACACAACATTATTCTCATACCTCTGTGCCTTTGCACATACTGTTCCCACCACTGGGAAAGCCTTCTTCCTTTTACCACCCACCCCATCTTGATTGACAAGTCCCAGCTGTCTTCATGACCTAGCTCAATTGTTACCACCTCCATGTCATCTTCCCTGACTCTCCTCTCCCCGAAGCTATTTGTACTTCCTTTACCCCTGATGCCTGCGCAGAATCAGGCCTCCCTCTTCTCTAATTACATTGCTTTTGGCATATCCTTTGTAACACTGCACTAGAATTCTTTGTGTTTGTGTTCAGGGCAGTGTAAAGATTCTGCCACAAATTCTTTGACAAGCCTCCCATTGAGAGTTGAGGTGTGAGTCCCCTCCCCTTGACTGTGTGACTGTTTTGACGACTAGGATAATGTGGAAGTGACACTGTGCCAGTGTCTGGGCTCTAGCCTTACAAGACTGGCAGCTTCCATCTTCTCCCGTGAAATACTCTGTGAACTGCCGCATGAGAAGCTGGACTACCCCAGACGGCCATGCTGGGGAGGCCGTCCATAGGTGCTGTGGCCAATGACCCCATCTAGAGGTCAGACGTGAGGCCACCTGGGACGCCCACCCATCTGCTCGCCGAATTCCATAGACTGACCTTCATCAACATAATGTGTAGAAAAGAGAATTGCCCAACCAAGACATACCTGAGTTCCTCACCCACAAAATCATGAATTACAATAAAATAGTTGTTATTGTAAGCTACCAGCTTCGGGGGTTAGTTTTGTAGCTTGTTACCTAGCAATACACACCCAGAACGATGTCCCACTGTCTCATGCAGTGGGCACTACTACCCAGTGTGTGCTGAGTGGGTAACGCCGCTGTCCTCTTGGCTTTTGTACAACATCACGAGTCCTGCTAAACAGACCTGGGCCTCAGTCCCAGAACATGGTCAATTCCCTCACAACACTTTTCAAGGTGTCAGATGGCAAAGAAGGGACAGCATCGGGAGCAGCGACAGTGCACTGTGAGATCCCAGCACTGCCTGTCTGATTACGCTAGCCCTGAAGCCACACTCCTGGTAACTGGCTGTGTGATGTCCTCATCTGACAATGAGGGCAGGGATGGTGTGTGCTGCAATATTCGCTGTTGACGTCACACGTGCTGGGCCAGGCCTCCTCCCAGGCCTCAGGGATGCTGGGGCTCGCGGCTCCGGCTTCCCACCCCTGCCAGACATATGGGGCCACGTGGACGGGGTGGGGGTGGCCAATTTCCTGGAACCAAAACCCAGGGCCCTGGATGGTGCAGGCAGCTGGTGACTGCTAACCTTACAATTCCAAATCGAGCTCCACCTTGGTGCTCACACTTTTGCTCCCAAGAAAAAGTTCATCTCTACCCAGGTTCTTCTGTTCTTTCTCCTGCGACTGAAGCACAAGGACCCTCCGAGCTCATGTTCCAAAATGTTCCTTATAATAATTCTTGCTACTCTCACAGCTACTGTTTATAAAGCACGTCTATAATCCAGGCACTTCTCGAAGCTCTATACATGCATGAAGTCATAAGCATCTACCACACCAGATTCATTTGGGTTTGAATTTGTCATTCTGTATGGGTTTCCCCAAGCTTGTTGATGTCACCTCTATATCCACTGCAGGAGCAGCTGACCAATTTGCAGGGCCTAGTGCACTACGAAAACATGAGGGCCTCTGTCCAAGCGTTTCAAGATGGCAACAGTAGAGCATTGAGCAACCATTCACACTGTGGTCTGGAGCTAAACAGTGCCCATCTGTCCAGCTGTGTGCGCTGCCTTGCTCCCCACTTCCAATTCCATTTCCCAGTTTCCCCTTTCCCTCCCCATTTCCCATGGGTCATCCAAAATAATCTTAAAAACTGTTATGAGCTAATATTAATTTCTGGCTGGAAACCCTCTAATGGGTTCTCATTGCCACCTAAGAAAATGAAAAGTCATCACCATGGTCTACAGGCCCTCCAGCAGAGCTCTCTGGCCCAGGAGCTGGAACTCACAATAGGACCAAGTGGGCTATAAGTTTACCAAGATCGGGCTCTTCTCAGCCCCAGGGACAGCCAGGGGGTGTCCTGGGCAACCGGTGGCTCCAGAGCAGTCTTACCCTGGCTGTCTGTGCCCTGCACAGTCCCAGGGAAAGAGATTCCTTCCAGCAGAGTATGGAGAGGGCCCTTCAGGTGGGACACTAGACATCCTGGTTAAAGCCCCAGGCTGTCCACCTCCAACTGCCTCAGTGGAAAGGGGCACAAATGTCATCAGTTTCTATGTGTGACAACCACAGGGGAAAGGTGAGGACTCAGTGACCCAGGTGATTAGACTCCACCAACATCTCCCCACTCTCTCCCTACTTACGCTGTCCAGAATTGCCCTTCCTGGAACACCACAAGTTTGCTCCCACCTTGGGCCCTTTCAATGTCCCGTCTGGAAAGCTCTGTTCTAGCCTCCACTTGGCTAGCTCTTTTTTGTCACCCAGGTCTCAGCTTTCCTTTCACCTCAGGAAGGCCTTTCCTGACCTGACCACTCTCCACCACATCCTTGGCTCTGTTTTGCCCCTAGCCCTCATCATCTCTGACCTCCCTTTGGTCATGGATCTTGTCTCCTTACGTGCTGCCCAGCTCCCTCATCTAGAATGCAGTTCCACGAGCACATGGGTATCTGCCCATTCCCACCAATGACCCTGGAGTCTGGTTCCAGACCTCCGGAAAGCTGTTTCTCCATGGTCAGCAGTTGGGGTTCTGCACTCTACTGGTGACACAGTTCTTCCCGTCTGGTGGGATGGCCTAGGCTGCATGGCCACTGGCTTGCTCAGCCAGATTCTCAGCGGTCACCAAGACACTGTCTCTCCAGCAGCTGGTTATGCACACATTGAAACCAGATTGGACATTCCTTCCCTCACTCGTCTTTCTGCCTCCCAGCAGATACATGTGCATGTCACCTCTCACCTCAAACCCTTCACCTATGAGCTGAGGTTTAGTTCAGTCAACCACAGCAGAGGGAGCTACGGGAGGAAGGCACAGCCTTTCCCATCAGGAAGCTTACACTCTGGCAGAAGTGTCAAGACAGGCAATTTGGCCTTCCAG